CATAGCAAATAAAAAACAGACTAGGGAGAATGTAGGCCCCCTCAGGAAGCTCTCGGGAGAACTGGCTACACAGGATTTGGAGAAGGCTGAGGTTCTGAATGACTTCTTTGCCTCAGTCTTCACTGGCAAAGGCTCTGACCAAACCACGCAAGTCTTGGAAGGCAGACACAGGGACTGTGAGAATGAAGACCTTGCGCCCACTGTAGGAGAGGAACTGGTTCGAGACCATCTTAAAAATCTGAACATGCACAAGTCCGTGGGTCCTGATGAGATCCATCCGTGGGTCCTGAAGGAGCTGGCAAATGAAGTTGTGAAGCCGCTGGCCATCATATTTGAGAAATCATGGCAGTCAGGTGAAGTTCCCAATGACTGGAAAAAGGGAAATATAACCCCCATTTTCAAGAAGGGGAAAATGGATGACCCGGGGAATTACAGACCAGTCAGTCTCACCTCTGTGCCTGGCAAAATCTTGGAGCAGATTCTCCTGGAAGGCATGCTAAGGCACATGAAAATCAACAAGGTGCTTGGTGACATCCAGCACGGCTTCACTAAGGGGAAATCCTGCCTGACCAATTTCAGGTCAGGTGGCCTTCTATGATGGGGCTACAGAACTGATGGACAGGGGTAGAGCAGTTGATGTCACCTACCTGGACTTGTGCAAAGCATTCAACACTGTCCCACATGACATCCTTTTCTCTAAATTGGAGAGACATCAATTTGATGGATGGACCACTCGGTGGATAAAGAACTGGCTGGATGGCCGCATGCAAAGAGTTGTGGTCAATGGCTCAATGTCTGGCTGGAGGCCAGTAAAGAGTGGTGTCCCTCAGGATCAGTGTTGGGACCGGTCTTGTTCGACATCTTTGTCTTTGACATGAACAGTGGGATTGAGTGTGCCCTCAGCAAGTTTGCCGATGACACCAAGCTGTGTGGTTCGGTTGATACACTGGAGGGAAGGAATGCCATCCAGAGGGACCTCGACACACTTGTGAGGTGGGCTGATGCCAACCTCATGAAGTTTAACCGTGCCAAGTGCAAGGTCCTACACCTGGGTTGGAGCAATCCCAGGCACAGCTACAGGTTGGGCAGAGAAGAGATTCAGAGCAGCTCTACGAAGAAGGACTTGGGGGTGTTGGTCGATGAGAAAATGAACATGAGCCGGCTTCAGTGTGCGCTCACAGCCCAGAAAGCCAACCGTATCCTGGGCTACATCAAAAGGAGCGTGACCAGCAGGTCGAAGGAGGTGATCCACCCCTCTACTCTGCTCTTGTGAGACCTCACCTGGAGTATTGTGTGCAGTTCTGGTGTCCTCAACATAAAAAGGACATGGAACTGTTGGAACAAGTCCAGAGAAGGGCCACGAGGATGATCAGGGGACTGGAGCACCTCCCGTATGAAGACAGGCTGAGGAAGTTGGGGCTGTTCAGCCTGGAGAAGAGAAGGCTGCGTGGAGACCTCATAGCAGCCTTCCAGTATCCGAAGGGGCCTATAGGGATGATGTGGATGGACTCTTCATTAGGGACTGTAGTGATAGGACAAGGGGTAACGGGTTAAAACTTAAACAGGGGAAGTTTAGTTTGGATATAAGAAGGACATTGTTTCCTGTTAGGGTGGTGAGGCACTGGAATGAGTTGCCCAGGGAGGTTGGAACTGGATGATCTCAAGGTCCTTTCCAACCCTAACGATTCTATGAGTCTATGATTCTATAAGATTGAGAGCAGGGGAAAGAAGAAAAAAAGACTGAAGAAACTGGCTGCACATTGGCTGTATTGGAAACTAGAGAAGAGGGGAAAATCAGGTTTGTTTGGGCTGGTTGGTTTTTTTTTTTTAATTTTCCCCCAGTTAAAATGTGAAATACAAAAAGTGAAACAGTCAGGAGAAATGGAGCTAACATGCAGCATTTCATTAACTGCGGAGAGTGTTGGAAGGTGGTGTGCTCTTCCCTCATGGGACACACCAAACTTTTTGTCTTAACCTGTGTTTTAATTGTTGCCGTACCCTTAGGGATGCCAGAGAGATTAACAGTATCACTTGGCTGCTTTAAGTGTTGGTTGCAAAGAGCTTTACCAAAGTGTGTTCCTACTGGTTTAGTGGAACCCACGGTATGCCTGGTGAAGGCAAAGCTTGATAGGCCTTTTATCTGCCCACTTCTCAGCATACTCTGGGGCAATGCTTCCCATGAGGATTTGGCAGGGAGTATTAAATCCCTTCTTATTCCCCGAGACACTCAAGTTTGCTTGAGTGGCTCTTCACAAAAACAGCATTAGCAACATGCTGCTCATGCATAGAAATACATAGATTCATCTTCCACATGAGTGAGTTGCGCTGTGCTTTAGAGGCTTGCTGGTGCTGATGAAGTGACAGCCTCCTGAACGGCATGGATTGCACTTTACTGCATGACCTTTCCTGACACTCTGACATGAACATTTTACCTTCTGAAGGCTATTTAAATTAGTAAACACCCATTGGCATAAACTGGTGCACACAATGCTGTTCATGTGCTTAGAAACTGGGGATTCTAACTCTGAATTCTCATCAAATGAGCAGCTCTCACAAGGCATAAATCTGTCATGCACAATGGAAGAGGTTACACCCAAAACCTTGTAAAATGGGTAAAGAAATGCGTATCAGCAATTTTGAGTACATTATGCCATAATATACTCACAGATTCACAGGCAGTTACTCAGTCAAATCTAAAGTTTTGGGCAGCACTCAGTTTTTTTCTTAGCTATTTGCTGCCTGCAGTTGAGTGCAATAATAATGACCTTGAAAGCATGTTGCTACAAGAACTTGCCAAATGCTGAGTGAGTGGAATGGTGATGCTCCTGATTGAATAGTCAGATAGGTACTAAGGAGTGTGAACCACATGCCAGCTAGTGTATTCATGTCTTTAGAGGAATCTTTTTGCACGAACACAGAAATTGGGATCTTATGTGGGAATTTTAAGGTGTGGAGCGTGAAGAAAGATGCAGTGTTTGGGGAATTTCCACCTTACTCCTGAAAGGGAATGTGCTGTATTTGTCCAGAAAATAAAAAGCAGGTATTTCTTAGTTGTTGTTTTGTGATTTATAAACACTGCATCATTAGGGTGTTTTGTATGTGTTAGTAGAGTTAACTTTTCTTATTTTCTGCCCAGAGAATCTTACTAGTTCAAAGTAAAACACAAAATGCTCATTAAAAGTAACAAAACCAGCTCAGTTTTCTGGACATAGAAATAACGTAAGTTTGAGGCGTGTTACATAAAGACATCTTAGAACTTGAAGCACACACAAAGTGGCTGCCAGTAAAAGCCAGAAGTTTGCTTTTGCCCTTACTAATGATTTAAAGCCTTGCACATTCTCTCTGAATTTCACTGTGCTGTCTCTAGTCAGCTGCAGTCAGTTACTGAATACTAACTTTCATGGGCCTTGCAAGCCATGTTTCTGGAAAGAAAGAACCAAACTGTATCTAACAAAATGCAGCTTCTTTTTTACATAATGGCTTTGCTTCTTCTTAGGAGACAGAAATGTTAGAAACAGTCTGAGCAGCATCATAACGTGGTAAAGGGGATCAAAAAAAGCACTTACTAGATGGCCTAAATGTAGCACACTAGTCAGAAATGTATCCCCAATCTGCCACATAAGCAGTGCGAGCCCAAAAGACACAGGCTCATTAGGACACCCTAGGAAAGCCTTGGAGGGATATGAAGTTATACAAAGCTTTCATCCCAAACCACTCACGTGTCTTTCACATCAAGGGAGCTTTGCCTAGTGACAGCTGTTGCAAAGTCCAGTATGAGCAGTTGGCCAGCAAAAACTGGCAGTAAAAGCACAAACTGATGAGTTTAAGTGGGAAAACACTCTCAGAAGTATGTACAATGCATTTGGCTTGTCCTTATGCAAAACAGATCTTACTTTGTGTCAAAGGAAATGACCCAGCAGAAAAACTGCAATTATATAGTTCTTGTAGAGTCACATCACCAGGCACATAGCTGTAGGATGGTGGCTGTAAACAGGTGAGGTGTCACAGTGGCATCAAGCTGTCGCACAGCAACTTTATCTGGTAACAAAATACAACTTAGCCCAGGATGGTGACTGCCAGACAGGCAGCCTGTGGCTGCTGGAGCGCTTCTCAGGCAAAACATGCTGCTCACAGGGCAAGCTAAGGAGTTATGTGTGCTGCAAATAATCTATTCCACATCTTTCTAGCAAAGAGTCAGGACACAAACTGCTTGGGTAGAGATGAAAAGCAGTTTTGTTAGCAGAAAGAAATTTCTGACTTTCGACACTGTCATTATCAATGATCATAGCGAGATCAGTATCAACTCTGCTTCAATCTGCAGAATGTCCTTTGTTTCCTTTTTCACAGAATTAAAGTTTTCTACAAATTTATGTCTCCTCTTCCACCTGCCATGGCACGCCTGCTAGTCTGTTTCCTATCAATGAAAAGGTTAAAAGGTTTAATACTACTCAGTAAAAAGAAATGTGTATGCACGTGGGGAGATCCTGCTCGCCACACACCTGCAAGTCACCACTTGTTTCTTTTCTCCTCCAACAGTCACCAACTTGTTTCTTTTCTCGCCTGCCACGCCGGTACTGCAACTTCACATTAAATCTCCCTGCCATCACAGCCCTGTTTTCCAACCTGTGTTTCAGGGCAAGCAGCTCTCAGCGGCACTTGTCCTTGGAGCAAACACCAGCACCAGCACCAGCACCAGCACCAGCACCAGCACCAGCACCAGCACCAGCACCAGCACCAGCACCAGCACCAGCACCAGCACCAGCACCAGCACCAGCACCAGCACGAACCTAACCCCCCGGGACCTCCCTCCTCCTTCCGCAACGAGACAACCTCAACGCGCAGCTGCGAGCGCGGAGTCTACTTCCGCCTTGGGACCACGCCTCCCGTGGAGGGGTTGGCTGGCCGCTAGCCAATAGTAGTGCTCGGCGGGCAGGTACTGCGGGCTCTAATTGGTCCGCGGGGGAAGGGGTGGGGCGGTTGGCGAGCTCCCCCGAAAGCCGGCGGAACGGGGTCGGTGGCCGTCGGCTCCGCTCCGCGGGAGCAGGATGCGGCTGCGTTCGGGTGTGTTCGCCTCCTCCTGCCTCCTGCTGGAGGTGCTGGGGGTCGCGCTGTTCTTCCGTGGCTTCTTCCCGGTGCCTGTCAGGTCCCTGCCCCGCAGAGAGTCTAGCGGGGACCTTCCCGCCGAACCGGCCCCGCCCGGCCCAGGTAATCCGAGCAGCCCGCTCCTCCCCTCCTCTGTGGCTCCTGCTCGCCGGGGCCGCTGGCCGGGCCGCCCCGCCCCGCCTCGCCTTACCCTAGGCAACGCTTACGGCTGTCACCTGCCTCCGAGGTAACCCTGGCCCGGCGCGGCGGGGTCAGGGTCGGGCAGAGAGCCCCGGCGGGGCTGGGTGTCGTGCTGCTCACCGTCGCGTGTGCGCCGTCGGTGTGTGCTGGGTCACCGGGTTGTGGGGTGTAGAGGCGGGAGCAGCCGGTGCGAGCAGGCGGGACAACTGTCTGTAGCGTGTTCCCACACCTGCTTCCGAAGACGATTAGAACTTTACTGATTTTGCACGTAGCTGTCGGTCACGGACAGCAGAGCTTGCTCGCAAAAAGGGCCTGAGCATCAGCTGCCACATTTTTTGAGGGTGTGCTTTTCTGTCCTTTAGTCCCTTCCCCAATCCCGATGCTCTTTAATGGCAAGCTGTTCACATTAAATAATGCCATTTCAGTTACAATGTTGCACGTGCTTGCTGTGTTAATTTACTGGTTGCATTGTGCTGGAGAATCGTTGTTTCTGTGGTGTGTGGGTGTCTTAATGCCACTTTAGTGACACTTTGACACTTCAGTAGTGAGGAAAGCAACTGCAGTAACAAAGGTTTGCATCACAGTCTGGTCAGATTGTGAAATGCACAGTGTTGCTGTCCATTACTGTTTCCCTGAAATCATGGTCACTACAGGTCCTGCTTAGTATTTCTTAGCTGAAACTGTGAAATCAAAGTCTTCAAGCATCTTCTTAATGAAAGGTCCGTAGAGGATGTGCTGATACATAGCTGTCTCGTGTGTCCAGTCACAAGTTACATTAAAATAATGTGAAAAAGAGGAATGTGTACTTGAAGGAGTATTCTTTACCAGTGTTTGGGGCTTGGGTGGAACTTAAGGATCAGTGGACAGCTGAGTTGAGTAGCATTTTGCACATACAAAACTTGCTCAGTACCACCACTTATGGTTAACTTGGTGGACAGAACTGTAACTGACAAACTGGGCCTTTATCTGCATGTTATTGTGAGAAAGAGTGGAGGGAAGAGAAGGTTGTGTAATTTAGAGCATGGTGTGCTGATACCAGTTCAGCAGGAACACTGAAAGAATCTAATCTGGTAACAGTGTATGGATGCTACCAAATGGCAGGTTGCTGTTTAGCTGGAGGTTACCAAGACTGTCAGAGATGCTTGATAGGCTGCTGTGAGTGAAATGTTCCATTCACATGTGATTATTATCAGGAGACTACCATAGCAGGGGACTGTTTGGCTGAGAGGGAGGTGTCAGACAATTGGGTTTTGAAAAGACTGCTTTGAACTGAAGATTATGAATGTGTGCCCCAGGGTTCTACAAGCAGTTTAAATTTAGGCATGTCACTAGTACTCTAGGTAGATGTAGGCAGAAATGGAGTGATTGTAGAAGAAAACTTCCTTCCTGTAGTTCATGCATGACAGTTTGCTTGCAGAGTTATCTCTTGGTCTGGATTATAAACTCTGAAGGCAGAAGATTGCTTACAAAACCATGACACAGAAGGCTTTCCGTGTACTTTAGAGCTGTTCAGAAAATAGTATTTCTTCAGTGCTCTAAATTTCTTGAATGATTCACTTTGTGAGTCCTGACTGCCACTGGATCCATGCTGTCTTGACTGTGGAAGACTGTATGACAGTGAAACCTTACCACATTGTGGTAAGTTTTTGGTAGAACCTCTGGTTTTCTTTGTGCCTTACAGAAGTTCAGATTGGTTTAAATTGACTGTTTTCTAAATAACCATAGCAGGAATGAATAAGCATGTTGCATGCCAAGAGTTGCACAATGTATTGCTTTAACTGTCTTACAATAAGTATTTTAAGGTGGCTTGTTGTCGAATCCTATTTCCTTTCCACTTTTCAATACTTTGACTCACTGAGGAATAACGCTGTAAGAGGGAGTTGTGAGAAGGATGTGTATGTGATATGAACATTTTTGGTGTCCAACAAGTTTTGTTTCCCTAGTCAAGTAGATAGGAGGAAATGCCAAGAAAGATTTAACTAACAGTATAGTACCACCAGTTGTGCCTTCACTGAGAGCTAAAGCATGTCTTCTAAGTTGATAAATCAAGTCCTGGAAAAACAACATTATAATTTTAATCAGGGTTGCTGGCACTCAGTGATTTGTTGTTGCTGAGACTTCCTTCTTTCCCTTGTTGTGGCCCCTTCCCCGGTTTCCTTATCTGGACAGAATTGCTAGCAGTAATGAGTCTGTGAATGTCAATTTATTGATGTTTGTCTATCTACCCAAAACCACAGTTTCAGAGGTTGATTTTTTTTAAGGTTTGTTTGTTAGACACAACATTATCTGTGACCTTTCCAACTTGTCAACCACTTACACAGAAGCACATTTTACTGTGAAAGAGTGTAAGCCTGCTAACTTTATATAATGCATGTACTGAGAAGCTGATTCACCACAATATTGTTTAAGTAGAGATCTGTGGGTAAGATCCATTCTGCTTCCATTTTATCCTTCTGCGTGTTTTTCTGGTAGAGATATGGGACCTTTAGAGGTTGGGCCAAAAACTACCGCTGTAAAAGCTAAATGTCAGTGTGTGGCCGAAGCTCAATGCAAATGAGGAGCTGCTGTAGCCAGTATTAAGTCCATAAAAGGGAAAGAGGTGGGGTTGAAGGCAAGACAGTGCCTATTGCCTGATGCGCAGCAACATTTTGCTGTGCTTGGTCATGTAGCATGTTCAGGGGATTTTGGAATTGGATTTTCACCCTGAAGCTGCCATCACTGAACAGTCCTGGCATACAGGCTTCTACCTTGAAGGGTGCCAGTGTGCACAGATCTTTTCCCTTTAAATTTCAACAGATCTGTCTGTTTGTAATTCTCATGTTCTCTTATGGTGGGATTTAATTGAGAGGCCTTGATGGAAATGGAGAAGTGGATATTAGCACAGGTGAATGCTGCATCTTATTTACTAATAAAAGTTGTATTTCAGATACATTTAGTTCAGTTTTACTAAATTAGCCAGAGAGAAGGTAGCAACTATTCCTTCTTATTCCTTTGAGCATTGTCCATTTCACAGCTTTTCCATCATGATGCTTCCCATTGTGCCCTCCATTCATGTTTTGTTTCACTTCCTGGATGGTGTACTGTATTTTTTGTTGTGTCATTCCTGTGCTGGATGGCCTGAAAACTCTGCTTCCTCTGATTACTTCTCATGTTTGCTATTGTTTGCAACTTCTCACTTATGAATATAAATTTAGTACAGAAGTTGTCCTTTAACATCTGTTTAGCCATCGTTAAAATTTGTTAATGACTTTTAATGTCCTTTTTTTTTTTGTTGCTGTTTAGGAATGGTTTCTAACTGGACCAGAATTCCACCACCACTTTTCAAAAAAGTTGTCATTGTGCTGATAGATGCTTTGAGAGATGACTTTGTGTTTGGGTCCAAAGGTGAACAGTTCATGCCGTATACTAAACAAATTATTGAAAAAGGGACATCCTACAGTTTCATTGCTGAAGCGAAGCCACCCACTGTGACTATGCCTCGAATTAAGGTAAGTGGGTGTTTTTTCCACTTAGGGTAGTTTCTCTCTTAAAAACTGAGAAAGTTTTTAAGGCTGGGTTATTTCATATGCTCGAAGTTGGCATAAAGGGTAGGTTTGCTGTGTTACTGCACTTTGTGGCTGGAACTCGCTTTGCTGTAGTGGTGTATGGGATAGAGTCCTGATTTGCTCTGGCCCAGAGGTTTTTCCTGAAGAAAGGGTCAGGTCAGAGGTCAAAGGAATGTGGAGGGGGCTGAGCAAGAGGAAGAAGTGGCAGCTTCAACTCAAGTCACATTGACTTTTTTTTTCCTTAGTTGGTAGCTCTGTGGTGGGCAGGTCTGTGAGAATCAGTCAAGGGCAGTTAAGGCCCTTGTGTTGGCATAAGTGATTGGTATAATCCTTTTATTTATAATCATGGGAAGGCGATAGCTTCTCAGTTATCGCATTTTCCAGTTGTCTTCTATTCAAGAACATGTTCATTGCCATTTGTGTTCTTATAACTTCTGACAGGAAATCCAGTTTGGTGTAAATTTGTTTTGACATAGGGGTGTTTATGCAGAGCTTAAAAATGAAACTTTGCCAAATTCCAGGTAACTAAAATATGTATTGTGACTGTGTCATCAAAATACTTGATCATCCAGGCTTCTCAGCGATGGATCTGAGTGACATTTCTTGCACTGAAGAAGCTGAGGGAATGAGCTTTGGTAGGTCAGCTGGAAGGTCAGTGAGAGAGTGAAGGGGAGATAGCCTGGTAGCTCTTGATAGGGGGAGGTTTTTTTTTTTCCCAGAAGATGCTTAACTACTATTTTGAATGTGCTTCCATTGTTATCTTAAGTCAGCTTACTTGGGTCTTCTTTTTGGTGGTTTACTGACTAGTAAATGAAGTGAATTTCATCTGGCATACAAAGTCTTTTTGCTGTATGTTAATTAAGAAAATACAGTTTTCACCTTTTTTTTTTTTTTTGCAAAGAAGTTATAATTTCTTTTGGTTTCTGTTCATATGTCTCTTTTATGTTCTTCTTTTATGTAGGCTTTGATGACAGGTAGCATACCTGGTTTCATTGATGTTATTGTGAATCTCAACTCTCCGGCTCTTTTGGATGACAACCTGATATGGCAGGCAAAAACAGCAGGGAAAAGAATAATCTTTTATGGTGATGATACTTGGGTTAAATTGTTTCCAAAGCATTTTGTGGAGTATGATGGAACAACATCCTTTTTTGTGTCAGACTTCACAGAGGTGAGAGGCTTTGTATAATCCCAAGTTAAATGAGTACAAACATAGTTGCAACTTCTAAGAATGAATGAGTACGACTATCCTTGTGTAATACAAACCTGACAATTAAATACAAAATGGCATTTATATGTGTTTTCAGTATTGGCAATGCGGAGATAACCATTTCAGTCACTTGTGCATATGCTGTGGGAAGTGTTTGGATGATACAGTAACAAAGATTGTGCTACTGTATAACTTTCCTAACATGTAGTAGCTTCACAAAACTTCTGTTAAGAAGTTACACTGCTTCCACTATCCATGTTTCCGGTTTGCTATCACATTTATATTAGTGTATGCCATCTTTAAAGGGCCAGTTAATATATAATCTCACTCTTGTGGTCTGACAACACCAACCTGTGTGGTGTGGTCAACGTACTGGAGGGAAGGGATGCCATCCAGAGGGACCTTGACAGGCTTGAGAGGTGGGCCAGTGCCAATGTCATGAAGTTCAACAAGGCCAAGTGCAAGGCCCTGCACCTGCGTCAGGACAATCCCAAGTCCAGAGGAGGGCCATGAAGATACTTAGAGGGCTGGAGCACCTCTCCTGTGAAGACAAGCTGAGAGAGCTGGGCTTGTTCAGCCTGAAGAAAAGAAGGCTTTGGGGAGGCCTTAGAACAGCCTTCCACTGTCTGAAGTTAGCCTACAAGAATGCTGGAGAGGGATGTTTCTTAAGAGCGAACAGTGATAGAGGAAGGGGTAATGGCTTTAAACTGAAAGAGGGTAGATTTAGATTATATATTAGGAAGAAATTCTTTACTGTGAGAGAGGTGAGGCACTGAAAGAAGTTGACCAGAGAATTTGTAGCTGTCCCATCCCTGACACTGTTCAAGGCCAGGTTGCATGGGGCAACCTTTGAGCAACCTTGTCTACTGGAAGGTGTCCCTGCCAATGGCAGGGGGCTTGGAACTAGATGAGCTCTAAGGTCCCTCCCCACCAAAACAATTCTGTGATTCTTAGAGCCATACTTTCTATAGCATTGTTTTGCTTTTGTAGTTGCAATATGAGTAGTGTTTCAGTATGTTATCAAACAGGGAGCATAGAAAGTAAATGAAACAAAAATGAAGGAATTTCTTATTCTGGGCACACTAGAAGAGTAAATGGTTTGGCAATTCTAGTTTGTATTTTGAACCTTTATGTTTTGTAAAACCTGAGGCTATCAATCTGCTGCTACTGACATTAAGTATTCTTATTACCGTGTTTAAGGAAGTTAGATAGGTCTAATGTGCACTGGAAGACACTTTTAGTTGGTTGCAGTTACATGTCTCTCAAGCTCATTATTCAGAAAGCATAAAGATTGCCTATAGTCCATTAAACAGAAAGCTTTTTATTTTTTTTTTTTTAGGTAGTTATATCCAGAGTCATCAAAATGCTGTTGCATGTGAAATTTTGTAAGGCTTCTTAATATCCAGGGAGAAACATATACAACTAAAAATAGGTTGTGAACTAAGCAGGAGGACATATGAATTAGGCCCCAAATAACACTTTCTGAATAACTCTTATTTTTTGCTGTGTTGTCAGTTCTTTTACCTACAGCAAGTACAATCTTTTTGTGTTTGCACAGTAGCAAAAATTGAGTGGAAAGAAGGGGAGTGGGTTTTTCCCTTGTTCTTCCAAGCACCAAAGAGAGGCTTTTCCCTATACCTACTTCTGAAATGATAAATCTAGAGTGTGAAGGATAGAAGTGACTGAATATTTCTTAAAGCAGTTGTTAAAAGTATCTGTCGAAGCATGGCAACCTATTTTCTCTGTTTCCATGTAATCTGGTGCCTCAGGACCAGAAAAAAAGTGAAATGGGGTAAAGAGTCTGTGTTGTAGGACAGATTTTTTGACTGCTTGACATTGAAATAATCAATCTAATTTTTTTTTTTATTTTTATTTTCTCTGTTAACATTGTGAGTGACTCTAAGTCTTATCAGCTTTTACAGAATTTTCATGGGTAGTGTGGTCTCATTTTTCTGTGTTGTATACAAAACTGAAACAATTCTTACCTTTTAATTGTTTTCCTTTTATTTCTGAGGTTGATGATAATGTTACCAGGCATTTGGATAGAGTGTTAAAGAGAGAAGACTGGGATCTCCTAATACTGCATTACCTGGGCTTGGACCATATTGGACACGTGACTGGGCCAAACAGCCCATTAGTGGGAACAAAACTGCGGGAAATGGATAACATCCTGAAGAAGATTCATACTTCTCTTCTTTCAAAGGTAATATAGCTCCTTCTTGGATCAATTTCTGTTAGTTGTGGACTAACTTTAAAATGCTTGCTTGGTTGTGGGTTGTGGCTTGTTTATTCCTAGACCAAAATGGGTATTCTTTTCCTTCCCTGGCCATTCCCCAGTTAATGGTATATAGTATCATTTTTAAGGATTTACTGACTGACCTTGGTAACATCTGTTAGCAGTCTCTTCTGAATAGCTGTGGGAAGTACTCCCCCTTGGTGTGCAGGAAGAGGAGAGGAATGCATGCCAAAATTCCCTTATCACTCATAAATTAAAACGGTGGTTGGTGTGCTTTCTGGTACTGAAATTCAGCAGAAGGACTAGTGGGCATGTATAGCTATTGGCTCTGATTTCTACAGTTGTGAAGTCGTACCTAATTCTTAGATATTGAAAACATTAATATGGAAATGGTGGTTGTAAGCAGCATTTTTCTTATGCTAGATGTAGCACAAAACACTAAAGCTGAATCTGGTTTTAGATATGGAAATATAGGATGTCAACTAAATAGTCTAGATGTTGAAATACTAAGTCCTAATTTGATGTGGCCTGAAGCTTTTTTTCTTGTTTGCTTCTGGCAACAGCAGTTCACAGTAGCTGCTCACAAAATTTCAATAGTATTTTTAGTCGGATAGTATTGTATGACAAGAGAGATTAAATCATGCTTGTGGAAGCTGTGATTTAATGAACATTGCAGTGGTTTTGCTGCAGTCTGTTGGTATGTTTTGCTTTTGCCGAACATATGCAAACCTTTATCTCTGTTTTAGAATACAGAAATAATAAAATCATTACTTTTGGAAACAAGTAATACTGGTAATAATGAGATGACAAAGAGCTGCTTTGTTATGGAATGACAATATTTACTTTCTGCTGTCTTTGTTAGCTTGAAATTGTTGGAGAGGCTTCATTTATGCTTATGTTTCTTTTTCTTCAGAAAAATAAACATAATTTGAGTGCAGTCATGTCATATTTCTACCCCAAAGGCACTTGAGAGACTAGAGATTCTTAGAAATAGGATATTTTTTTATATTGCTTCTATAATACTTATATTTACAATACTAATAATTTTGCATTTATATTAAAAACTTCATGAAGTTGAAGAAATGGAGGGGCAAATACTTCTCTGATAAAGCTACTGCTCCTGGACTCCTGATTTCCCCCCCCCCTCCTCCCCCCAGTATGATTATTTAATCCTTCAGTTAGTTTCTTGTGACTCTCTGTGTGGCTTTGTGTTTTTTTTTTTTAAGCTTTTTTTGTGTTGTTTTTTGTTTTTTTTTTTTTGTAATGTGCTGAAAAGTGTGTAGCATACATATGTGTGCCTTAGCTGTTAAAAATTAATTTTATTGTATAGCAGTTGCAGATGACTCTCGTAATCTGCCCCAAGTGTTGTGAGCTAATTTAAAAAATGGAAATTATTTTGAGAAATATATGTGAAAATAACAAAGATAGTGGAGCATTATGTATGCGCAACTTGTTTGTGCAATATCTTTAATTTTTTAATGTGACTTGCAGGAAGAAGCCTCTCTTCCCAATTTGCTAGTTGTTTGTGGGGATCATGGGATGTCTGAAACAGGTAGTCATGGTGGTTCTTCAGCTGGAGAAGTGCACACACCACTACTGTTTATCAGCTCTACTTTTGAAAAGAGAAGTGGTAAGGATCAAAAAATCTTTGACCTTTTTTTAGAACACGTTGCCATCTCTATATTAGATCTGCAATTCTTCCTGAAAAGTTCCAGAGATATCTGGCAAAGTCATTATGTGTGACGTAGAACTCTGGTTTTAGGCAGAGTTTGCACCTGTATCATTTTGAAACCATGATGTAGGCTTCTCTCTCACTGAGAGTATTGGGTAATTCTCAGATGGTAACCTTTTGCAGCACTGTCCTACTTGAGTGTTGAGAGCTAATGTGATCTGTTGTCAGGATCCTGGGATAGTGGTAAATGGATAGGATTAGAAATAATATTCTGTTTAAACTGAGTTTTGTCTGTCCTGGCTAGAATATTTCCCTGGCCTCCATTCTTCCATCTCAGAAAGCCAGCATAGAGGAATGAATGACAATTTCTCATTCTGAGTGTAACAGGAAAGAGGAAGAATTGCTTTTCCTCTCTGAATTTATCTCTGAGTTTATCTGTTTCTGAAACTTATTTTCTACTTGTGTAGTACAGCTTAAGGTAAGAGGCAAGAAGGGAATGGTGTGGTAGAGAATCTTTAATCTAATATGTAGTTTTATTTAAATAAACTCCTTGAGTGAATAGGTGAAATGTAGTTATACGAGGACTGAATATTTTCTTCAAAATATTACTTCCCTCTTCCTTTCATTCTGCCTTTTGCTCATGTCAGTCTGATTTCCTTGTTTTTAAAGCCAAATCTTGTTTGCAGAACCTTGTTTTGTTTATCTTGCTAGAGGTTTCTGCAGCATGGTGGAAGTACATTTATCTCTGTCATTTATAAAGCTGTTACTCAGCTACAATAGAAAGCATTGCTTGAGGAGTCATTGAACTCTTTTCAGATATAAACCCAAAACAAAGTCAAGAGCTGACCATAGTGTTCAGGGAAGTTTTTGCTTTACAGATTTCATTGTTATGTGTTAGGAATCGGGCCATGAGAGTGTAGATTCTGTAAATGCAATCGCCTATTCATTGGGATTAGTTTCTATTAGGTTTAAACCAAACATGCAGGTTTTACAATACAGTGAAATACCTCTTTTCACCTCAGGGATCGTCTTTGGGATCAGGTTTGTGATTTCTAATGATGCTCATGTAAATACACAGCAGCTTTCTCATTGCTACACTAATCAGAATTCTAGTGACTGCTCTTTATGATCCTATTGTAAACAAAATGTACTGTGGTTAATTTGGTAGATCTCAAAATAGTAATCCTGTGGGCTTTTGCATTTAGTATGCTGTCAGAATATTACTTGTGTAGCCTTCTATAGGAATGTGTCACCCATGATTGGTTAAATGCATTTAGTAGTTTGTCTTTCTTTAACCAGTGAAGAGCTTGCCTTTAAAGATGAAATCTGAAAACTGCTGATGTACAGGCACTCATGCAAAGAGGCTTTAGGGATTATAGATGGCATTCTGTACAAGTATGGGATTAATCAGAGCTACACGAGAAATGAGGGAAGTTCTAATGCTCTTAAAGGGACTCTTGAGAGTTATAAAGACTGCATAGAAAATTATTTCTGTACCATGCTTAAGTCAAAACACTTCAGTGCCTGGAGTTACAAAGAGAACAAAGAAAAAGCATAATAGAAAAATAGTGTTATGTAACTACTAAAGCGCACAAAGAAACAATTGACAAGACAATCTTAAACAAAAGATTACTTACATTCGTGAAATCATTCATGTGTGTAGATGTCTGTGGGACTGAAGGCTAATCCATATAACTGCAGGAAGGTAATGGTATCCTGCACAGAACTCTTTAAAAATCACTAGGTTTGCCTGTACAGAGCCATGGATTTGGGCTTCAGCATTCTTTATCTGACCTCTAATTCTGTTTGCCTAGCAACCTGATATTACTTATATCTTGAGCTGTTGTCATTATCAGGAACATTCCAGAATGCTGTCAAGATTGTTTTAAATTCTCATTCTTTGTCCATGCATTAAATTAGTCTACTGTAGTGCTTTCTATTTTTCTAATGTAAAAGTTATCAAACCCTTTTATGATGTGGGCTGCAACTTGGTATTAAGGTGATCTCCTGGACCACCTGCTTTTTTACAGGCACAATATTAATGTTGTGTTTATAGCAGTTGCTGAGAATTGAATAAATTTTGTTTTTGCAATAGCAGAGGACAGCAGCAGAAAAAGATCACTCAGCTCTTTGTAGGTTACTCCAAACAGCTGATCTAACACCAATGGAAAAAACTTTGAAGCTAACAAGATGCCAGCTGTCTCTGGAGAAATAGAATGGACCTATTACTGAAACACCATCTTTCTTTTTCCTTTTTCTGGTTGATTCTAGGTCGTCTAACACAACCTGAACTTGTGCAACAAACTGATTTAGCTAGCACTCTGGCAGTAGGCCTTGGTCTACCGATTTCAAGAAACAGTGTTGGGAATCTTATATTGCCAGTTGTGAGAGGCAGGACAATGAGAGAACAACTGCGTTTTGTGCACTTGAATGGGTTCCAGCTTAGTAGACTGCTGCAAGAGAATACACCTGCGTATGAAAAAGGTAAATTGGCAAAAAAAAATGTTACATGTACAAAAGGAAATTGTTCACAACATTATGTGGGCATTTACAGTCAAGAGCATAGCATGGGACTGCAAAGCAGCTATTCAGTTGAGAGTAGTGTTTGGAGAAATGATACTGAGTTCAATCTTTACCGTAACCTACTCTGGCACACTGTCTCTAAACAAAGGTTTTTTCAATGACTAGTACTACTCCTGTTAGGCAAAAGAGCAGAAATAATGCTGAGAGAGTAAGATTAAATTGAAACTCCCAGTGTTGTGAAATTGTAGGGGTTCCATACTTGCTATTTCTAAGGTATCCTACATAGGGCACTGATTTTGAGCTGTTTGGAATAATAGCACAATGAAGCTGAATTTTCTAGTTTAAATAAAAGCATGCTTCAGGTAAAGTTAGGAAATAATTTAGAGTGAGTTATGTTTTTATTCATTCTTATGTATGAATTTATTTGGAGTGAAAATGCAGAAGTCTGCAGAGTTGCTTATTAAAAATACATGTGTGTGTGTATTTGAAGGAAAGAATAAAAAAACAGTGGAAAAAATAAGCCAAATCTAGCAAAATGTAATATATTGTAATGAAGCATGTTACAAACTGCAGTATAAGTGGGGAAGCTAGTATGGTAATTATGTGGAATAGAATCGAGTTGGAGGATGAAGGAAGAATATTTTACCATGGACATTAGAAGAAGTTGTCTTTAAGTGACAGTGAAGCTTGAAGTCCTTGTCACGATTTATAATGCTGAATCATTAAAATAACTGAATGAGAATGCAGAGCTGTGTTACAGCTATGAATAATTAAAGTAGATAACATAAAGTTTAGCAAGATGATTAGTGTAGGTCAAGAATTAATTATCTTTCAACATCACAGCTTCTAATCATAATTAAACTCTGTCCAGAAACAAAACAAATGCCGCTCATGGTAGCAACATGTCAGTAGCAGGACCCATGTTCCATCAATTCTGAGTTGGTTTTCTTCTGCACAGATTTTCCCTCCTAACCTGTTTGTGTCAAGTGAGGAAAATTAAACTGTGGATGGAGTTTAGGATATGGCTGTGTTACTGAAAATTCCAACACAAAGCTCCATCTCACAGTATTTCTGCAAGCGCTGGTGAAACAGACAGGTTTCTAGTAGCTTCTGATTTACATCTTCACTTTCATTTTATTTTTGCCCAGGAGCAGCTTAATTTCAACTTGCAGCTTTAATCTGAGAAATTTAATCAAAATTGCTGAGGATGGAAATGTGATAAATTTTTATGCTGCTCTTGCTTTGCAAAGTGCTATGAGAAATGCTACTGTACTTGAAAGGGGTTGGGAGCCAAAGCACCCCTCATGAGCTTCTCTTTCTTCAGTAATGGAGAGTATTAGTAGCAACTCAGGATTAGTGGACAGATGAACACAGGGCAATATTTTTGTGGGTGTCTGCTACAGACAGCTTGATGGGAAGAAGTAGTAGCTCTTCAGACAACTTGAGGAAGCCCCATGTTCACTGTCTGTATTGCTCATATGATGCTTCAACCATCCTCTTGCAGTTTAGGTTGGGTAACGGGATAGTGAGATGGACTGGGGACTGACTCAGCTGCTGGGCTCACAGGGCAGAGTACCTTTTCAGCAAGCCTACACACAGTTCAGAACTGGGAGGAGTGGTTGGTACAGTAGATGGGTCTGCTGCCACACAGAGGCACCTCAGGCTGGAGAAAAGGACTGAGAGGAACCTCTGAGATTCAGTGATGATGTGGCACTGACTGGCTGAAAAGCAGCCTGATGGAGAAGGACAAAGGACTCTTAGAGACACCAGCTGAACATCAGCCAGCAGTATACCCATGTGGAAGGAAGGCATACGTGGCATCCAATTCTGGGGTCCCCAGTAAAAGAAATGCATTGATGTAATGAATGTAGTGTGTGAAACAAAGGGCCATGGAGATGATGAGGGGTTGGAATATCTGTCATACAAGGAGAGGCTTAGGATGCTAGGACTGTTCAGCTTGGATAGAAGACTCGGCAGGGATTGTATCAGTGTAGGTAGTATGTGATGGGAGGGAATAAAGAAGATTGAACCAGGGTCTACTTGGTGGTGGCCAGTGAGTAGGCAAGAGACAGTGGACTTAAACTGATACACATGAAATCTTGTTTAAATGGAAGAAAAATCTTTTTTTATGTAAGGGTTGTCAAGCAGTAGAATCTGATGCCCAGAGAGGTTGTGGAGTATCCATACCTGGAGATATTCAAGACCTGATTGGACACAGCTCCGAGGAAGCTGCACTAGCATATCCTGCTCTGAACATTTGGGTTTTATTTGTGCACCATCGGGACACTCTTTAGAGTTGTGCTGAGAGATGGCCAAACCAACCACCTTCCGCAGACAAGGTGTCTGCCACTTTCTTTGAGGGAAAGAAACTCCAGAAGGTAACCTAGTTAGACATCTCACATTTGCTGCTGCGGGTTCAAGCTTTCCGATGCTGGTTCTTGGCTAGAAACAACTGATGGATCATAACATAAATGATAAATGCTAAGAGAAATGCCTATGACCAGAGCTTTGTTTTAAAGTGAGAGATACTTGCAGGGATAGCCTAAACTTTGTTGCTGGTTTGTTTTGTTTTTTTCCTAGTTGTTATTATTTTTCAACTCTTCAGCACAAAAAGAGTAGGCTCTTCTGTAAGGGGAAAACATGGAATTCCTGCAAAGGCTATTGTAATTTGCAGCACAAAGATAGGGCACCAGCTACCAGTACCTTGAATATGATGACTGAGTCATAGTAAGAAAAAAAAAATCGCACATTTCAAGCTATAGCATAATGTATACATTCATTCTCCGAGCGATGTTCATTCCTTTTAAATGGAAAAAGATTAAGTTGGATGTTGATTAAGATGACTCACAGTCAGCTGGAAAGGCAGAATGACCTTTACATGCTCTTTTATGAAGAAGACATAGAGTGCTCTGGATTCAGCCACTCCAATATTAAGTACAAACCAGAGCAGTACACAAAAATATCGTATTGTTCAAGTGTGCTTTCAGTGTATCTGTTTAATAAAGAGCCGAATGGAGGCAGCTCAGTTAACTTCTCTCCTCTCCCCCCAGTGTTTGTTCATGCAAACACATTTTCAAACCAAGAGCTCGTACAGCATTTCATGGGACTTGGATTTTGAAGTACAGAGGAATCTTCACGGTTAAACCTATTTTTAGGTAAATTTTTAATGAGAAACTTGAAGCTCTACTAAAGGCATCATTATCTTGAGAATGATTTTTTTGAAACATACTAATAAATGCTAATGTGAGACATTAGCTTTTCTTTTGATAGAGATGGACACATGCAGCTAAAAAAATCTGAAGGAGGATAAAAACAGCTGACAGAAATAAAGAAGCTGAAAGAGGAAGTATCTAGAAACTCTGAGAGAGTTCATAGCTCCCTGTAGGGTAGGCAGCTGTAGGTAGTAGTGTTTCCCTTATTCTGAACTTCTGAACATGACACCTGAAGTAGGATTGTTACAGGATTGTTTCTTTGAAAGGCACTTCGTAGTGGAATGAAGAGTCATGCTTGAGGGGTAGTTGGATGTTGTTATTAAAATGAATCTCTTCAATTTGGAACTAATTCTGAACTTGTGTCGATAGAAATAAATTGATTGTTACTGGAAGATTTATATCTTGAAACTGGAGGAATCACTTGTATGTTATTCATTCTTTTCTTACAAATATAACTTTCTTTTAAATTGATTGCTGCCTGTGAGTGGAACTAAGTGAAATTACTGCCAAACAGATGCTTGAGAAGCAGAGCCATTTGCTTGTGATAACACTGCTGAAGTAGAAATTGCTAGTGAAATACTATGCAAATAAACCATTGCCAGTGCTTTGGGAATCATGTAACTCATAAGCTTGCTTTGGATTTTGCTCCAAGTTTAACTTGTGAATATCCCATGCAGAAATGACTTGCAAATGTTACTCAGCAGATACCTGACTACTTCTTCAACAGAGTCTATGACCTGTCTCATTTTATACTTACTGCAAACAAATGTACCATTGAAGAGATTATCATTGGAGTTCTCAAAGGAATTTTGGTAGTCATGGTCCTTTATTTCTTTCTGTAGGATCTTTAAATCATTCACTTAATGTATCTCAAAGATATAAATGTGGATCTGACTAAAGCAGTCCTCTTTCTTAATGTAGACAGTGTGGGTCTGGTGGACAGTTTTATGGAAAGAGGTTGGTTTAAGGTTGGTTTCAAGGTAGGTTAGATGGAGCTTTGACCAACCTGGTCTAGTGGAAGGTGTCTGCCCATGGCAAGGGGTTGGAACTAGGTGATCTTTAAGGTCCCTTCCAGCCCAAATCATTCCATGATTCTCTGAACTGCTAAGGTAGATGAGAATGAAATAAAAATGTTAAAAGGAACAAAGAGGTAAACTGAGCATGAAGAGGGAGCAGAACAGGAGCAGAATATCTGGAGAGAATCAAAATGTAACTTGAACTCATTTCAATGTTCTGTTTAATGAAATAGTGTCAACTCAAATCTCAGTTTGAATAGTGTCATTTCAAATCTTCCGGTCCATTTCTTTGAAGCTCATTTTAGAAGATTCTGTCTGGATTTCTGGATTTCATCAAAAGTATGAATATTTATCTCACTTCAGATATACTGGAAGAGGAACTTTCTGTGGAATTCACTATTCAAAGAACTACTCTAGGACAGTGAAAGGCCCCACGAGCACTGACAACTATCTCAGTATACAAATGTTTGCTGCTGGCTGAATTGTACATTTTAGCAGATGCCCTCTGTCATAGCAGAATCTGCATGCTTTGCGATAGCTTGGGAGACTAAAGATAGCTTGGACATTCAGTTAAACATTACTTTCTAAAATTCTAACTTTGAATTCAGGCTGTAGTAGACCACAAATTGTCTTGCAATGATAAGAGACTTACAAATGGTAAGCACAGTTCTTTCGTAACTGTACTAGAATCGTGAATAGAAATACTTCATTTTCATTCACTTGAAATAAAATTTAAAATTTCTGGGTTTGAGAATGCACTTTTGCTGAAGAGGCTTAGCAAAGAACATGGTATGTTTTTCCCAAGTCTGATATACTGTTGATCTACCAGGAGTAAAAATTAACTGTAACTTTCTTTTGACACCAAACCTTACTTCAGTCATTGCATTAACCCTTGTCATCTGAAGCTACACAGCAAATGTGTTGCCCTACTTTTAGTTAAGAAGGTAAGGGTTGCAAGATGGGAAGACGGTATCTATCTAAATCTGAAATTTCCAAATTGTCCTTTTTTTTCCTTTGTCATTAGCTTTCAAGTGAAATTGCAGGGAAACAGCATGGATTATTAATGTGAAGTGAAACCAAACATATGTTTCTTGCAAATAATGAAGATGTATGTGGATGTTCACACATAGCATAATGTTCAGTGAGATACAAGTTTCTGAAAGTTACGCTCATGTTGTCTTTGTGTTGTTGACTAAATTCATGCTGAATGAATCTGATTGCATACTATATACAAATGACTGACATTTTAAACACTGTATGGCATGTTGGACTATGGGGTGATGCCTTTATAAAATGAAGAGGGAAAACATGTCTTAAGTGCTTTCAGGAAAAACACCATTTTTCATTTACAGTAATACATAGGACTAACCTAATTGTTCTATTAAAAAAAAAAAATCTTGAAATTAATCTGGCGTGTAGTGAATAGAATGCTTTTTAGGTGTGTGTAGGATTCACAGTAATAATTCTGGCAGAAATCGTTTTCATTTTATTTACTTACATGCTTGTAATGAGCACTCTACAATTTTTTTTGAATATGTGAACATAGCGATGCTCTTCTATTTTCACCTGCAGAATCTGGTTATTGTCACTGCTGAATATATCTTTTGGGGAAGTAAGCAGTCTATTGAGACTCAGCTTTTTGTGCTGCAGCTTTTTGTTTAAGTGTTTTGTAATGGGAAAGTTGATGAAAATCAACATTAGTTGGTGGGAGAACAAAGTGGTAGACTACTTTCATATGTCTTTGAATTGGTTCAAATCACCCTTTGGTATGTATGAACAGGAAAAATTACATAAAGTAAGGATTCTTTGGAATAACTAGGGAGGGGAATATATGTAGGAAGAAAGCTACTACAGTTGTACTTGGGAAGGACTTCTAAAATGTAGGATTTGGCTGTTGCTTCTTTCCTGTTGTCCTTGCTTAAGCTTTTAAAATACATTTAGAGAGAAAAGAGTAATGCAGACATGTTTCAACAGTACGAGAAAGAAAAGAAACTGTATCGTCTCTGTACCTATATTAAAAAGCATACTTGCATTGAAACCTGAACCCTCAGAATTCAATGGTTGATTTAAAATTATTTCCTTCAGGGACATAGTCTAGGGCTAGTCATGTTCTCATCTGTGGTTCTGAAAGCAGATCAGAGTCTTGGTGTGTGTTGTGAGTGTTCAGCTTCAATGCATTTACATGTATCTGTATCAGAAGACTTAATTAAAACTACATTTCTAAAGAAAATATTACCTAGGTATAGACAACAGATATACGGCCTGGAGGGTTTTTTTTCCCCTCTTTGTTTTCTTTTTCCTCTATTGTTTGGTTTGTTGTTTTTTTTCTTTTTTTTTTTTTGTTTTTTTTTTTTTTTTTTTTTTTTGTTTGCTTATTTGGCTGGTTTCTTTGTTTTTCTTCAGGTCAGGTTTTTTTTTTTTTCCAGATAGGTCGCTATGAAATCGCTTTCCACCACAAGGGTCTTGCTTTCACAGGTTGGTAGCAGCCATCCGGTTTTCTCATTTTTAATGAAGTTAAACTGTGGGCCATACTTACACTATGGCATAATTACTAAGTTTCATGGCTGAGGATTGCTTTGCACTAGCTTCACAGTACAAATGCCTGAAGCCAAACTCTGCACTTCAGCTGTTAACTTTTCTATTACTGCTTCCGAATCTTGCATCCCACGTGTTTAACTTCATGTTAGCAACAGACTCTCCCTAGTTTTGCTGCAGAATCGAGGCCTCTAATATGATGTGTATGTTCTTTGGTGTTTTGTCCTGAGATCACCTATTTGATAATTTCCCATTTGACTTGTACAATTTGGCCTGGATAAGAGTGGCTCCAGTGGAAAATATTACCTTTTTTTTTTTTTTTTTTTCTTCAGGATTTAAAGTATTTGAGTAAGTTTGTCCTGGAAACCTTTTGTAAGAGTAAATGGGTGTTTTAATAAATTTATCACTTTTAGAAGTCTTGACATTTTATTGGGTGAGAGATTAATTGCTTTTATTTTGAGGAACTGGCTCATTAGGGTCTTGCTGCAGAAGGATAATGTAACGTTCTAGGTGCGAAAAACATTTCAATCCCCGTAGCAATTTCTTTTAAAATACTATGCAAACCAAAATACCACATCTCTAATTAATCTTCCTTTGTTTGTGGATCCTCTTACCTTTCTTTTTTTTTTTTCTGTTTTATTTTTTCTCCTTCTCCTTAGATCCTGGATATGAACATTTTAAGATAGCAGAAAAGTCTCATGCTAATTGGATCAAACTGTATTTAGAGGGGAATAATTCAGAAATACTCTTGAATCTTGGCAAAAAAGTCCTGAAGCAATATTTGGAGGCCCTGAAGACTCTGAGTTCTTCACTAAGCAAGCAAGTGGCACAATATGACATGTATTCGATGATGGTTGGGATTGTCATCATTATGGAGGTAGGAAAATGTATATTTCTGTGAAAAAGCTAAGTGCACTAATGTAAAAGTTTTTTGTTTTTTACTATTTTGTGTATCCTTCTATTGGTCTTTAGAATTACTGAGTATGAGCTCTTAGAGTTGGCTGACTTTCTGGATGAGGTTAGTATTCTTGTATGACCTGGTCTCTAAAATGATTCAAGAAAGCTTTTGATAGAAGCTGCTTATAGTAAATATGCAGATGTGCTACGACTTAAACTAGTCACATCAGTTAGCCTTCTACCTTTTGAGTATCCTTACTGTATTAAAGAAAAACCCCAGCGTCTGTCAAGTAAGTTCCTACCCGTTCCTCTTTATCTAATAGTGGGCATAGCTGCTGAGAGCAAACAATACCTTGTATGGTCAATTTCCACAATTCTCAGAGTTGTTCTTCGTACTGATAGGTGTAGAGCCCAGAAATAAATGCTGTAAGGTGCCGGATTACCACTTCATATCTCTTGTAAGAATAAAGATAAGATATCACATGTCTGGAATTTTAAGTGGTTGTCTGCAATTGATAATTTGGTCAAATCTCAAATGCTAGAAATATGCTCTGTGGGAATCCTTTGAGAATCATGCTTAAGGGAAAACAGGCATGGACGCTGAACTTCAGTGTATCAGAGCTTGCACTGACCTTCTAGAGTTTCAACTTTTGTAAGGGTAAGCACTGTTCCATTGTTCCATGGAAATACCTACTTTAAGCTTAATTTAGTAATTGCGTGTATATAGTGCTGTCCAAGACCTTAATTGCTATAGCACTGGTCCTCTTCAGTGCCTGGAACAAATAACAGTACATAAACAGCTATTTAGTATTTGAGCCTCTTTTGTCCTGGCAAGACTTTATGCTTTCTGTATACACTGTTCTGTTTAGAGTATGTCTGAAATGGTTTTCTGGTAGACTGCTCTGTGCGGTTTATCACACTGCTAACCACTTCACAGGAATTAGTTCCACAGTGTCCTTAGAAAATGGATGGTAGGTTCAGTTCCCACTCTGCAGAGGTATACAAACCTCAGTGTAAAGCTTAAGTGCTCATAGTTTGTTCTTTTGCTTTGGGAACCTATACGTTCAAGCTCTTGACTGTTACTTTGGACCTGAAATATTGGTTTAAATTTTATTGTTTTTTTTTCCTGGAGTGTAGCTGTAGCCATTTACTGCTTCTACAAAACAGATACGAGGTATTTTACTCAATGGGCCTTCATCAAAAGAAATGTGTGCTACTAACCATGGAAATTTTCATTGAGAAGAGCTTGCTCACCCTCACTGTAAGACTTGGTGCAAAACTGCGACAATGTCTTCCTTTCTCCAGTGCAGTGCTCCAGAAACTGCCTTGCTTTCCAAAATCTTTTTGCCTTGATATGTATTTTCCACCCTTTACTGAATAAATAAGGGTAGGGAATCTCACAGGTGGCTTCAAACTACACCATCCCATAAATGTAATTTATCCTGCATTTCAAATGAGGATAATACCTCTAGGACGTGAATTGCTAACAGTGCATTTGCTCAAAAGAGCTAAATTTAGGTTTGTAGATAGCTACAATTCAAGTGTTTTCCTATCATGTATGCTGTTTATGTTTTATGTGTTGTGTTAAAGGTTAAGACCTAAGCCAGTTTGGTGCTATGATATCTTACCTTTTCGTAAACAAATGAACTGTATGAAGTAGAATATGAAGAAGAAGGAAGACTGTGTCACTGCTTTGCATTTTTTTTTGGTCTGCTTTACCTCTCTGTATTATGGGAAGAAGTTTAGGCAGAGGTCTTCTAAGTCCTAGTGAAAATCACAGGTTGGCAATGGTCTGACATGGTTTTTATCTTGATTTGTTTTCATTCTGTGCTAGCTCAAACTGATCAAACTCAGTCTAGTCCTAGCTCCACCTGTGCCCCTTGCAAAGCATTTTAGCATGTGGTTGAATTTTCCTTTTACCTGTAAAGGTTTGTACATGGGTAGCAGAAATTATTCATGATATTATTAATCTCTACTGCTACAGTTACTTGAGAGGAAACTTTGAATTCTTCCTGATCTGTGTGCAGGTTAGGTCAAAGTGAATGTAAAACCAGTCAATCAAATGAAGATGAGAAGAGGTACAAAAAAATTAATACCAGGAGAATTAATAAGCTTGAAATACAACATACACTTGTGTGATAGTGTAAGAACTTTCCCTGATCTCGGAAAGTAACTCTCAGTATCTCTGTGTATGTGTATCTCTCACATTGTGAGATAAATGGCCTTTGGCAGTGTGTGTATGTAGCTTTAGGCATTTATAGGTGACAAATAATAAGTCAAATTTGTTCACTTAGGAACTATTTTGATATCGGGTATTAAATCTTTAATTTTTGCAGGGAACAAAAGTCATGCATGTGATCAGTTGCCACAGATAAGGAACTCTGCTAACTTGTGTGTCCAGGCCCTTAATAAATAGAAAAAATTTTTAATTCTTCCATTTATATGGTAATATCTTACTGGGGATAAAAAAATCCAGTATAGTTCTTCACAGATTTTTTGATGAATTGTGTATATTAGCAGAATGACATGGTATAAGCAGAATCACAACAGTGTGATTTTTTTTTTTTTTTCTTTTTTTTTTTTTGGTGTGTGTATGTGTGACTTCTCACTCTATGTTTTAGCTAACCCAGATTCTTTAAGTATTATTTCTCTATTTTATTCTAGGTTCTGCTGCTGCTTTTGCTTAGCATTCCAAAAGCCCTGAGCAGCAGGGCAGAATTTGAAGTGCCGCTTTCCCCTCCACTCTTCTCCCTGCTGTTTTACTTGATGTGTCTGATGCTTTATGCAGTTCACGTCATTGTATGCACATCGGCAGAAAGTTTATGCTATTTCTGCAGTATGTCCTGGTTCACAGCAATTGGAGTGATGATGCTGATATCTGCACTCATGTGTGGTATTTTGTCTGCCATTGCAAAGATCCTCGATAATTCCAGACTTACAGTGAAGGTGAGATCATGCATTAGTTACTGTTCAGAATGTTTCGCTCATTATGGCATACTTTCAGATAAGCTTTATGAAGGTTTTCTTTGTGTGTACTTAAATTATTATTTGTAATGTAACTTGAATAATTAAAACGTGTAATTGAAAGATGTTGTATTCACTGTGGCCTGATACTGATTTCTGTAAAGAAGATCACAGAAGTGCTTATTTTTACATTACTTAAAGAAGTGTTCTAATTAGCATAAATTATTTTGCAGTTAATTTTATGTGGGAATTTATGCTGTTACACAGTGATATTTCACAATTGCAATTAAAGTGGATCTATGATATTTTGCAACAACATGCAGTGGTGATGATCCATCCTTTCGCAAATACCACATACATTAGTGCTCTAAGACTAATAAGAAAACATTTTGCTAGTACCCTTTCTTATATTTGTATTCTTAATGCTTTTTCAAAATAGTTTTGAAACTGTAACAGAGAAAGCAAAATTAATCTGGCTCTTCTACTTTTTAAGTTAACTTTAGAAGTTTTTAAAGTTTATGAAATTGAATTTGTTACAATCTTTGGAATGCTCAGAAATGTTCTCAGTTGTGTGAGTAGTTACCATCTGTAAAATAGGTTGATGAGCTTTATTGTTGTATTGTTGAGTAGTATTCAGGTAATATCAAGGAAATAGAATTTGCAATGTCTTATTTAATTGTTAAACTTAGTGTGCTAGGAACTGTTAGTCGTATCATAAAATCAGTCTCTAGCTGTTTTTTTTCTGATGCTTGTTAGTGGTATCTTTCAAAGGTATATGAAATTCAGTAAGTTTAATGTTCATAGTGCTCTATTCAGTGCTGTAGCCTCTGTGCAGTACTGTCCTTTGTCAATCTGGGTTTCTTTGAATCACTTTTGGGATTTTGTATCTCTTTTCTTAGTGTATGACAATGCGTGGAAAGTGCATTGCTTTAGCGATATGATGACATTTCTCCTAGCTAAAAAGCGAACTTTCTGACTTAAGCATCTAATAACTGCTGTATTCATATAATTCAGAAAACTCACTGCCTCTGAGTGGAGATAAATGCTGCACTCAGTGCAGTTCGTTTCAGTATATTGAAAACTATTGGAAAGGGAGTTGTTGGTACAACATGGTATTTCATTCCCATGTTTTTATTTGTTGACCACATAAAATTTAGGTGTGTCTGTTGATCATTTAGAATCACAGAATCATAGAATGGTTTGGGTTGGAAGGGACCTTAAAGCTCATCCAGTTCCACCCCCCTGCCACAGGCAGCGATACATTCCACTAGACCAGGTTGCTCAGAGCCCCATCCAACCTGGCCTTGAACACTGCCAGGGATGGGGCAGCCACAGCTTTCCTGGGCAACCTGTGCCAGTGTCTCACCACCCTCATAGTGAAGAACTTCTTCCTAATATCTCATCTGAATCTCCCCTCTCTTAGTTTAAAACTGTTATCCTCTGTACTGTCAATACATGCCCTTGTAAAAAGTCCCTCTCCAGCTTTCCTGTAGGCCCCTTTAAGTACTGGAAGCTGCTCTAAGGCCTTCCTGAAGCCTTTTCTTCTCCAGGCTGAACAATCTCAGCTCTCTCAGCCTGTCTTCATAGGAGAGGTGCTCCAGCCCTCTGAGCATCTGCATGGCCTCCAAAAGGTCTACGTCCTTCTTAGGTTCAGCTCCAGAGCTGAATGCAGGTATTTAGGCAGACTAAAATAGAGGAACAAGTCAGCTAACAGTGTCTGCTCAATTAAATCAGGGAAAGAAGTTTCAGCTCAGATGTATAACTGCAAACAGAACAGTCTTTGTCAGCGTAAATCACAGTTTGCTTTTGGTACTGAAAATTTTTGTGTCAAAGTAATATTAATGTTTTGCTGCCAAAGCTAGTGATGCTTATGGGTTCGTTTTTTTTATATAGCAGATAAAAGAAGAAGGTAATGTGAATGGAGAAATCTGTTGAATGAGATGACTAGCTCTACAGCGTATTAGCAGTGCTGGTACATTGTTGTGTGTTGGTCTCAAAATGGACTCAGTTCACTTCTGCTGTTTCAAAACATTTATTAACCCACAGATAATTCCTTGTGACACCCACTGCAGTAGGACTAACTTTAAAGTAACCTTATATGACCCAGGTAGAATGCTTTCCTACTAGGTCGAAGAATGTAATCTGGGAAAATAATGCTATTCCTTGGCTATTACTAAGTTTAGAATAGGCTATTGGTTGACAGGTACGAGGTCTGCCTTTTTAGTTTGTTCTGAGTCCTAGGGTTTCATTCCCATCTGTTCTTGGCATGTTTTCATTCTTGGTGGAAGACAGCTGCTGGTGTGAACAACTTCCTGTATGTGGCTTATATATTGCTAATACAGCAGCTCTGTCAGTGATCACAGCAGCAACTGAAAAATGTCTCCTGGAATTCAAAACTTTAATTCAGTAGAAAGGCTTTTCTTATGAAAGGAATTAATTGCTGGCTCCCTGATGGAGGCAAATAATTCCTCAAGGTACACATACAAAGAATCACCCATACAACCTGTTGGAAGCTGTTCTGCTTCCGGAATGAATCTTTCTGAGGAACTTTAGAGGAGAGAGTTCTATTTACCATATTACCCATAATCTGTTGGCCATTTCTGATGATTCCTCCTCATCAGCTATGCATAGGGAGAATGGACAGGAGTATGTGTGCAAAGTCACAGAATCACAGAATCCTAAGGGTTGGAAGGGACCTCAAAAGATCATCTAGTCCAACCCTCCTGCAAGAGCAGGGTAACCTAGAGTACATCACAAAGGAACTTGTCCAGGCGGCCCTTGAATATCTCAGTGTAGGAGACTCCACAACCCCCCTGGGCAACCTGTTCCAGTGCTCTGTCACTCTCACAGTAAAGAAATTTTTCCTGATGTTCACATGGAACCTCCTATGCTCCAGTTTACACCCATTGCCCCTTGTCCTATCACTGGACATCACTGAAAAAAACCTAGCTCCATCATCCTGACACTCACCCTTTACATATTTGTAAACACTGATGAGGTCACCCCTCAGTCTCCTCTTCTCCAAGCTAAAGAGTCCCAGCTCCCTCAGCCTCTCCTCATAAGAGAGACGTTCCATTCCCTTAATCATCTTTGTAGCTCTGCGCTGGACTCTTTCAAGCAATTCCCTGCCCTTCTTGAACTGAGGGGCCCAGAACTGGACACAATATTCCAGATGCGGCCTCACCAAGGCAGAGTAGAGGGGGAGGAGAACCTCTCTTGACCTACTAACCACACCCTTTCTAATGCACCCTAGGATGCCGTTGGCCTTCTTGGCCACAAGGGCACATTGCTGGCTCATGGTCATCCTCCTATCCACCAGGACCCCCAGGTCCCTTTCCCCTTCACTACTGTCCAGCAAGTCAGCCCCCAACCTGTACTGGTACATGGGGTTGTTCTTCCCCAGATGCAAGACTCTACACTTGCCCTTGTTGAATTTCATCAAGTTTCTCCCAGCCAACTCTCCAGCCTGTCCAGGTCTCACTGAATGGCAACACAGCCCTCTGGTGTGTCAGCCACTCCTCTCAGTTTAGTATCATCAGCAAACTTGCTGAGGGTACACTCAGTTCCCTCATCCAGGTCCTTGATGAAAATATTAAACAGCACTGGTCCCAGCACCAACCCCTGAGGGACTCCACTAGTCACAGACCTCCAGCTAGATTCTGCCGCATTGACCACAACTCTCTGCCTTCTTCCTTCCAAACAGTTCTTGATCCACCTCACTACCTGACCATCAAGCCCACACTTCCTTAGCTTATCTGTGAGGATGCTGTGGGAGACAGTATCAAATGCCTTACTGAAATCAAGAAAAACCACATCTACCGCTCTACCATCATCCATCCACCTAGTTATTTGCTCATAGAAGGCTATAAGGTTGGTCAAACATGACTTCCCCTTGGTAAAACCATGTTGGCTCCTCTTAGTGCCCCCCTCATCCTTGAGCTGCGAATTCCTTCTTTTCTGATGGCAGGAGTAGAATCCTGGTTCAGGGTTTTGCTAGTTAAAACAACTAAAAGTATTTTCTAAGCTCATGCTGTATGATAAAATGTAGGTATTTTAAAAGTAACTAAGATAAGCTCTCCTGTTAATGGCTTCAGAGCTTTTTTTCTACAAATTGTTTCCGTTCACATCTAAAGATTTCTCTGAAGTGCTTCTCATTTGTAATGCTTTCTTTCCACTGTGGCTGAATATAGAAACTGATTACCAAGTTCATGAATTTTCTGAAGACCAGTGCAGGCAGTGTTAGCATCTGCTTCCTGACTGTTGTTTATAGGTTCTGATTACTATATTTCTAGCAGCACCAGTCCCTTCTTTTAATGACACTTCAGGCTTTAAATAGTTCTGCAGCCCTTTATGAATTACAGAAAATTGACAAAAATTCTGACTTCATGGTTCATGGTTTCGTTGTAATTGCTTGGTAGTTGACTTTAAGTATGATATTTACTACTAGTAATTGTATTTTTCCTATTTCTGATAGAAATAAAACTGATATTTTTTAAAAATGGAACATAAAAGTTAATGCTTGTCAAATACAGCTTTTGAGAATTTTCATTATGCATAATTGTAGTGTTTGTTTTATTATGTAAACAAAATATTCTTCTGTTTATTTTAAACTGCCCTTTTTATTTTAAAATATTCTCGTTTTTCCTCCTCTCTGTGGCATTATTGTTGAATGGAACAATGAAACATTTTTATGCAGTTGTACCTTTTTTTTTTTCCCTTTTTTTCCTCCTTTTTTCTTTTTTTTTTTCTTTTTTTTTCCTTTTTTTTTTGACTTGGGGAAAAGCAGTAAGTACAGGAAAATGTGGTCTGTATTACTCTGTCATAGGAAAGTTATGATCACTGGGAATCAAGAAGGTGCAGAGAATTCAAATTTCAGAAGGGAACAGAAGGATGAGTATGTAAATTGTGGGTGATGGTTGAACATGAAAAATAAATCGTTTCTCTTCCGAAAGTGATTGAAAAATTGCTCAGGTATTAACTTTGGATGGTTAATATTCGTGAAAAAGCTTCAGTCTCAACCACACAGAAGCCACATCAGTGGCACTGGAGGACCAAGATGATAGACTACAGGAGGTTTTATTTCAAACTGAAGAAAATGAAAGTTTCATAGGCAGACATTCATGTATTCAATTTTTTATGTTCTGGCACTTCTGCAAACTAGCAAGATATGTTCAAAGATAGGGCGAAGAGGTCCACTTCTGTATTACTTAGTTACTAATGCTGATACATTGAATGATAAAGCTACCTAGGCTTGGGAGATAGTAGGCTTAAGTTGAAAGTCTGGCATTTATAAATTTCTAAACCAAAGATTCTGTATTAAATTTGTGTGCCAAGATACTGGTGCAAGTCATATTAGTCTTTTGGTATCTGGAGTGCCTGCTGAGTTCTTGAGGGTTGGAGTTGTTCAGCAGCTAGAAAAACAGAGCTGCAGCTATCAGAGTAGGAGCTACATTTCTGTGTGTGTAAATGAGATCTAAAAAATTTAGTATAAGCAATCTGATGTCAGGCTATAAAAAACCTGATGGCATTCCTAATAAGGCACAGTACATACATGCGAGGTTACCAATGCATTTAGAAAAAAATTTATGAAGTTGTTTTCTGTATTCTTAGATCAGGAGGTTATAATTTTCAGGTAAGTTTTCATTTTGCATGTGGCATGTGGAAGTGCAACTCTAATCTGAAATGTGTATTATCAATAAATGCCCCTGGACTTTAATCCTTTGGGGATATAGTAGTAGTTTTTGTTGTTTTTTTTGTTTTTTCTCTCCTGGAGTTTTGAGAGTCAGATAACCAGGCAAGAAATACGAATTTCTGTCTGGCACTGGGACATTCACGCTAATACCATCTCTTTATTGAGACTTTTGCATCTTTGCTGTTGATAATACATCACTTTTTCAGTTTTCCTATCAGTTCTAACAGCAACCAAATACAAGAGAGGAATACTTATATGGATTTTATGTTGTCTTATAAAGAAGACGAATTGTATTGAAGACTGGTTTGTTCTCATTTGTTGAGGATCTCTGATTCCTTTGTCTCTGCAAACAGATGGTGCTTTCGTGCTCACTCATTATTTAGTTAGCCAAGATCTTTAAGGTCAGCTTGATGAAATTATTGGAGTTTAAATTTTCTGTAGTTTAGTCATGTACTGATTTTGTCTCAGCTTTGTGAATTTCATGGTCTTTGGTCTTTGCATGGACTAGCTTGTCCTTTTGTTCCAAATACCAGCTTATGGTGTTTAGTTTTTCAGAGTAGAGTACTAAACAAAAAGGAGTGGTCTTCAGAGCACCAAAGAAATCAAATGCTAGTAAATTTAGACTCATAGAATCATAGAATCATAGAATCGTTAGGGTTGGAAAGGACCTTAAGATCACCTAGTTCCAACCCCCCTGCCGTGGGCAGGGACACCTTACGCTAAATCATGTCACCCAAGGCCTCATCCAACCTGGTCTTGAACACTGCCAGGGATGGAGCATTCACAACCTCCCTGGGCAACCTATTCCAGCGCCTCACCACCCTAATAGGAAAGAATTTCCTCCTTATATCCAACCTAAACTTCCCCTGTTTAAGTTTTAACCCATTACCCCTTGTCCTATCACTACAGTCCCTGATGAAGAGTCCCTCCCCATCATCCCTATAGCCCCCCTTCAGATATTGGAAGGCTGCTATGAGGTCTCCACGCAGCCTTCTCTTCTCCAGGCTGAACAGCCCCAACTTCCTCAGCCTGTCTTCGTATGGGAGGTGCTCCAGTCCCCTGATCATCCTCATGGCCCTTCTCTGGACTTGTTCCAACAGTTCCATGTCCTTTTTATGTTGAGGACACCAGAACTGCACACAATACTCCAAGTGAGGTCTCACAAGAGCAGAGTAGAGGGGCAGGATCACCTCCTTTGACCTGCTGGTCACGCTCCTTTTGATGCAGCCCAGGATACGGTTGGCTTTCTGGGCTGCAAGCGCACACTGAAGCTGGCTCATGTTCATTTAGATTGTGTCTGGGCAGTTTTTCAGATAATGTATGTTCTTGTGCTAAATTTAGAGTGTTCCCCCCCCCCCCCCCCCCCCCCCCGCCCCACCTTATTGTTGTCTGTAGCCTCATGGGGAGTCCTTTTTTTTTTTTTTTTTTTTTGGTGGGGTGGGTTGTTTTTTTTTTTTTAAAGTGTTTTTTTGAGGGGTTCTTTTTGTTTTTGCTTTTTCTTTTAAGTGAAATGACTTTGTAATATATTTCCCTTCATCAAGGACTATAGTGATAGGACAAGGGCAATGGGTTCAAATTTAAATGGGCGATTCTTCAGGTTGACTATAATGAAGGAATTCTTTACTATGAGGTTGGTGAGGTACTGGCACAGGTTGCCCAGAGAAGCTGTGGCTTCCCCATCCGTGGCAGTGTTCAAGGCCGGGTTGGACGGGGCTGGGAGCAACCTGGTTGAGTGTGAAGTGTTGCTGCCTGTGGCAGGGGGCTGGAACTGGGTGATCTTAAGGTCCTCTCCAATCCAAACCATTCTGTGGTTCTATGATTTTATTTCTTTAACAGCACAAGAAATGGAGGGGATGTTGAGTACTTGATAACTTTAACTATACCTTCTTCATTCTTTCACATCTTTAAAATCTTGATTTTTGCAAAATTTGTTTTCCTCAAAGCAAAATTCCAGATAGTCTTAGCTTCTTGCATCAAGTATGTTTGTTGTTCTCTCCATATTATGTAGTTTTGCTTATTGATCAAAAATACATATACTGCTGTCAGTATATCTTAAACATAAGTGAGACTGTCATCTAAGATACTCAGATACTCGTATTGTTTACAGCCAATTTCTTGTACCTGCTCTAATATTAGTGAGTTTCTGTATTCTTCTAACAAATTATTTAAACAGTTCAGGAATCGCAATACACTGTGCATCTTTGAATGTGAGTACATTTTCTATGAGATATATCTCTATGAATATTCAAGGCTGTCCTTTAAAGCTTGTTCATAAGGTCAGATGTAGGAGGATGATGCACTTGAAGTGTGCAGTTAAGGAAGTACATGAAAGTAGGTTCAGAGATCCTTGTTTTCAAGAAAAAATGGCATGCAGTAGTTTTAATGTGGCTTTTAAGTTGTTTATTAGGTGTTTAAAATACCGGTCTGAGGTAGTCTGTGACATTCTCTAGTAGAAGCAAAATTGAGAAAATAAAATGGTAAAGGATGACTTTTGACACTCCCTTTCTCAGAATGCTTCACAGTATGTAACCCTGTTTGTTAAGGCATCTTGGGAAAGCCCTGCTGGCTCCAGTGCCCTCCACAGCTGGGACATTTGTCCTGCCCTGCTGCTGGAGCCCAACTGTATGCAGTCAGCCCGCACCCATGTCCCTGCCTCTGGATCAGACTTTGAGGAGAAGCTAAACAGGCAGAGGTGTGTCATGTTACCTTTCAGACATAGGTGTGCACTCTGAGCCCTCCAGCTGCTGATGCAGCCCTACAAGCTTGATGATCCATGGTCACTTCTGTTGCTGACACCCTGACCTCTCCTGTACTCTGATCACCCAGCTGCTGATGCCTCGGGCACACAGTCCCTATGGCCTGTGGTCCCTACTCAGGTCTCAGGCACATGGACCCTCATGTGCTGCAGTCACTGGCACTATGGAAATGTGGGTCCGATGACCCATGATCCTGCCCCAGTTGCAGGCATTTGCTTTTACTTGCTCTGTCTCAAATTCTGGCATGCAGGCTTATCCTGAGTTACAGTGAGAACTTGCAGCACCCACAAGTGGGACAAGGAGTGGAGTTGCACAGAAAGGTAAGAGAGGATTTAATAACACAGAACAGACCACAGTGATCAGGCACAGAGCTCAGCCAGTGAAATGCATTGAATGGCGCCTGCTTATGTGTGACTCTGGCTCCTTGTCCCTTCCTCCTCTCACTTTGCCTCCTGCCTCCAGCTTTTTCCTCCCCCACCTTTGACACTTTCCTGAAGCTTTGTTTAGTGAGCTTGCATAGATCTACAGGTGCCATCAGGTATCTGTAATACTCATGTTCTGTCACTTCCTCCTGATCTGTTACAAAGTCCAGACTGATGCTCTTCACAGCTATGCTTGCGGTTTCTTAATGGCCTGTCAGTTAATGGCTGAAGAGTTTTGGTCATCTTTATGTTCTCCTGTAGTGCTTACTTAGCAGGTTTGTGTCTCTGTGTGATCTTTTTATGGCTTTCCCTGTTACTTTGTATTCCCTGTGAGCTGAAAAGGTCCTTTACTTGATAGTGTCAGTGGACCAGATGCTCTCACCTTCCACATGCCCTTATGCTCTCTTTTTAGCTGCATCATCAAGGGCAGTAATGATGAGGCAATTCCTAGTAGCTGCTGTGAACAGAAAATCAAACTAATGGAGGCTTTAGAGAATTTTGTGGGTTTGGATAGGCACAGCATGTGAAATAAATAATTGATGGCTAGGGTTTAAAGTAGATTTTATGATGAAGGGCATGTTTTGAGCTCTGCAAGATTAAAAGGTGCCATCATACTATCTGCAAGTAACTTTTGTTAATTTTAGTAGTGAAGGCTGTCACTGTACTGAGTTAAGGGTAGCACAGATTGAAACTATTAGAAAATTACCTGTTTTCTATGTCTCAGGTTTGATTTCTGGAGGATTTCTACTTTAATTTCTACAAATATGCAGCGGGGAGAGAGCTTGTTTCAAACCTACTGTCACAGGGGTGGTAGGGAATCTTAATCTGTAGAGTTGTGATGATTATTTGTAGAGCTTTTTCCTTTAAAAAGAACGTCACCTTAAAAGGTATGATTATGTTGCAATGCTAGCTAAATAGGCTACACCAAAATGATTCTTTTATAAATTTTTGTATTTGTCAAGATAGAAATAACTTGTCTTGCTGTTTTCTTGGAAGACATTTTTGTAAGCATAATATGAATGCTTAAACAAGTGAAATTTGTGTATACTTTCACCAATGGTTTGTTGTTTTTTTTTTTCTTTTTTGTTTTGTTTTTCAGAATTCAGTTTTGTCCAGTTCCAGCTGGTCAGAAATTGATGTGCTGATTCTGGCTGGAACAGTTGCCCATGTTTTGAGTTTGGGGGCAAGCAGTTTTGTCGAAGAGGAGCATCAAACCTGGTATTTTCTAATTAATACGCTTTGTTTGGGGCTGAGTCAGGAACTTTGTAGGAACAATTTTCTTCTGAAAGAATATGACCCTCAGCATAGTACCAGTGTAAAACAAAGTTTTGGGAGAGCCTCTGAGTACAAGAACATAGACATTCCAGCAGCAGATAATTCAAAATTGGGCAAGACCACCACTTCAGCTGAATTCAGTAGAGGATCAGATAAGTGGATAAGCTTAGCGAGTCCATGGATCATCCTTATTTGCTGTCGGCTTCTTCGATCCTTGAATCAGACAGGTGTCCAGTGGGCTCATCAGCCAGACTTGGGACACTGGTTGACAAGGTGGGTATTTGATTTATTGTCATACTTTCTGTCTTAATTAAAAATTAATATATGTTTTCTATGGTAAAATATATATATGCATTTCTATACAGTCTCTGTTTAGGAAGTGCTGCAAACATGCAGAGCAGGTAAATAGTGAAGTAACATAATGCATTTTTCACTTCTATTTCCTGCAGGAGTAATTCCTTGTGTACTATCAATAATAATCTCTGCCCTGCACCATGGCTTATCTAATTAATGCCAATTATACATGATAGGTTTATCAAGGCAAAAAGTAAATATTTTCCATGTGCAAGTCAACAGTGTCTGGTTTGGAAATTAAAAATCATGTAATGGAATTAAACCCTTGAAATTAAGGCTGAAGGTTTTGCTTAGTTCCAAACTTTATGAAGCTGAAGAAGATGCTGCGCATAGAATTCTTCCTTGTCTTTCACAGACATAAAACGTATGGGTGGAAACCTGAAGTTTTTCAAATGTAGTATGATGAACAAAAAAGCATTTTTTAAAACTTCAGGTGTAATTGAGAAGGGCTTCTACTTTTTCTACTAGCTTCTAGTATTGTGAAGAGCTATGGTCATTATTGAGATATAAGGAGTACTTGATATTTGAGCTGTCTACTTCATCTGGCAGACAGAGATGCAATACCTTGTAGCTGACTAGTCAGGGTTTTGCAGATAGCAGATGGGGGAGGGGGCTGTGCTGTGTAAGATAAGTAGATTTCTTGCTAGTATCTTGTGGAAGAATTCCACGTGGAAGGAATGTCGTTCGTCATTCATTAAAAGTGACATGAGCAAATGAACCAATATGAAACTTGTTACTTATTGTCAGCCTTACAGATAAAATGCTAATTGCTGTGACAGGCATGGGTGCTGGAGACATGAGTTACGAGGGAATTTATTGCAGTATAGCAATTTGATACCAAAGCTTTTGCTATGCATTCCTCCTCTTCAGATGAGGCAAGGGATTGAGGAGGGAATGCTACATTTCCAACATTAAGTCCCACACCACAGAGAACTCAAGTTGTTATGAGCTTAAGCAAGTGTGAGAGCAGGATTAAGTGTGATTTGGTGCAACTGGGAGGATTTTTTTAATTAATCCTGAGACCTCCCGAAGATCTATTGCTTAGATCTAATCTAGATCTATTCTGAAGATCTGTTGCATAGATCTAATTTAGATCTATTCTGAAGATCTGTTGCATAGATCTAATCTAGATCTATTCCTGGGTCAGATGTCTTCTTCAGAATGTCAGCCCTTTCCTTTGGAGGGGAGTAGTGCCACAGTGCTGAGAACCAAGGAGTTCACATTCTTTCAGCTGAAAAATTGCATTGTTATAGAGGTACACTTTTGCTCATATGGTCCCCCAGGAATGTTTGCTGATACTTGGAAATGTTACCAGCCGTCTAAAAACTGTGCGTGTGCTCCTGGACTTCTGAGAATCTGTCTTGGTTAAGTGTGCTCCACCTCTGATTTCTTGGTGCTAGGAATGCCTGTAGAGCAGCAAAACCTCTTACAGCCTTGGGCTGTAGGGACTCAGGGGGACAGCCTGGGTAGAATGTAGTCTACAGCTAGAGCAAGTGCTTCTAGGGCTTCCTGATTTTATAACAAGAGCTGGGAGATTCTGTATGCCCAGCTCTAACACTATTGCCTCTTAAGAGCTTCCAGGCAATGCACTCAAGTAACCCAAAGCTCCTAACACCTGCTCTGGCTTAGTCTTTTTGTAGTTGTTGGGGAGAGAGGGGGGAAAGAGAAGGAGGAGGGTTTTTTTTTTTTGTTGTTTCTTTCTTCTTTTCCTGTGATTCGGTGTGTTTTGCAGAATTCCTATCCATCTTTAAAAACCGCAGAATCACAGGATGGCTGAGGTTGGAGGGGATATCTGAAAATGGTTTGTTTCAGTCCCCCTGCTCAGAGTGGAGTGATCTCGGACAGATTATTCAAATCTGTGTCCAGCTGGGTCTTTGGTATCTCCAAGCATGGAGACTCCACAGCTATTCTTGGCAACCTCTTCTTCTTCTTCTTTTTTTTTTTTTTTTTTACCTCCAAAATTTTCCATCTGTTTAAACAGAATTTCCTTTATTTCAGTTTGTGTCCATTACCTCCCTCTTGTCCTTTTGCTGGGTACCATGAAGAAAAATATGGCTTCAACTTTTTTTAACACCTTCCACCTCCAGTGAGGCTGGTAAGATCCATACTGAGCCTTCTTTTCTTGAGGCTAAATGGTCTCAGTGCTTTGAGCTTCTCCTTCTAAGACAGATATTCCAATCCCATCACTATCATTTTCGTAATCCTTCACTGCACTTCCTCCAATATGTCGATATGGAAGGACCTCTTGCCTTGTACCTGCTGTCTTACTCCTCCCCTCACTGGCCCTGTATTTTAACAGCATGGCTGTTGCTTTGCCAGTATGGTGAGCTAAGTCATTGAATAGATGTGGCTGGAAAAATAACTCAGGATGGTGTGGGGGACTATTGGCTTTCACGTGGACCACTTCCCACTCTGATTTACCATCCAGCTCCACAAGTAAATGGGCTGGCTTAGTAATACAAATGCAGGGAGGGAAGATTGTGCAAGCCAGCACTACTGGTGTTGAAATTCCTGTAGGGAAAAAAACCTCCAAACCTGGAAGTATCTGCATCCTTTTAAGTGCTACAGACATGAAGAGTTTTTAATTTCTACCACTGTCAAGCATTCATTATACAAACCCAGTTGCCTTTCAAATCTGATTGAGAAAGAAACAATGATTCACAAACTTACTTTTGGGGGCTTTCAGAAGTTTATGGAACAGTTCAGAGTGCCATGGCAGGCTAAAAAGTTGTGCCATTTGGGCTGCCACAGTTATGCTTTCTTTCTTTCATTGGTGTAACCACTGCCATGTTTAAGGAGCAGGTAAAAGAGCAGAACCCTGGCAGCTCTGGCACAGGTTGGCTTGGGCTGCTGTGGAACTACATCCTGACTTAAATCAATGGAGCAGTTTTTAGATTAAGAGGAAACTGTAATATATGTCACCATATTGATGTATACTTCAGTTGCTGTATAGGGTTAAAAGATTGCTCAAAACAGAAGCATTTGAAGTGTACAGTTTTTGGACTTGAGTGATGTGATGTAGGTGAGTTTTTTAGTATGAAATTGTTTACTGTACAAGCTCTGGAAAGATCGGTCAACAATGCAACTAAATATTTGCACATCCTGTGGTTTGTAGAGTGTCTGTGAATTCCTATTCAGCAAGCATGCCTGCATTTTCTTCTGTTGGAAGTCTTAACATCTTTGTTGCTTCTCCTTCACAAGAGAACAGGGTGGTAGAAATATCTGTTTCCCTAGTGTGTTGATCAGGGTTGAGATGATGTGTTTTCCTTACAGTGTAAATTAAAAGTTGGTGATAAGCCAAGTTCCATAAAGCACTTATTCCTCTTCCCAAAATGCATTGCTAGTCTGTAAGGTTGATTGTTATTCTATTTTAAGTATGTGTTTAATTTGCATAGTTATGTCGTAATAGCACATTTTTTAGTGATGCCTTTTAGGCATCACACTCAGACTAATATTTTGTTTATCTGGACAGTGCTCAAGGGGCTCAGCATTTGAGAGAGACTATTGTGCAGGTTTGTGCATGGAAAAATGTAAGCAGCAAAACCAGAAAATCAATCTAGCTATAGTGTGTTGAATTTGGTTACTAGGAATGCATTCAGCAGTGCTGAAATAAGGGAAATGTTCTTTGTTATTTGCAGAGAGCTCTGTGAAACCTGGTACATGGTACAAAGGGGAAAAAAAAAAAAAAGACTTTGGGGAAAAAGAGCATAATAAAATCAGACAGTAGATGAAGTGGAAGAGAACATGCAATTCCTAAATTTTCTTGGAAGTTCTTTTTAATTAGTTGGTATGCAGTTAGCTTTATTTGGCTGTTAATCTTGCTCAGAACTGATACTCAGATGTCAGAGCTGCTACATGGCTCAGTGTGGAAGGGGAAAGGTGTCGATGACAGCATCAGCTTGAATAGAACTGATGAAAAGCAGCACCATAGGAAGATGGTAGTACTTTCTTTCAATAAGGTACTTAATCATCCCCAAATACCCTTCACCCCAAAGTCAGCATTCCGTGTGACTCTTGTGCATTCTATTGTACATAGTAGAATGAAAGTAAACAAGCAAAAAAGACTTTATCCGCATAAAATGTGAATTTCGTGCATACGTAATTTCTTTCATTCTTGATTTCCAATAGTGAGGTGAAAACAAAGCAGTGGAAGGAAATGTTTTCAACCTTCATTTTGATAGCAGAAGTATGACAGTGTAGACCACAAGCGGTTGCTGTAAAAACATTATAGCTGAAGCACTCTTTTTTTTTTTTTCACTTTCCCCCTCCCCAGGTTCTGTCTCAGAAAACCATTGGTCCTTCAGTTTCAGTTTTGTGGTTTAGGCAAAACCCAGTACATTTCAGCTGAGATCAGTTAATGCTTGTATTTCTGCGGAGAATATCAAAATCACTCAGAACTTTGCTCAGTGACTGGGCTCTGTTGAGCAACAACAATACCCTTTCAAAATATGTGTTAATTTGATATGCATTTAGCGGCATAACTGTAAGAATGCTGGCTGCAAAGCCTTGAAAATGTAGCTGATTTATACTGAACTGACTTCACTTACTATAAAACCTTTTATTGTACTTTTGTTTTGTTTTATTTAGTTTTATCAGCAAACTCTAAAACACTGTGGGGTTTTTTTTTTGTTTGTTTGGTTTGGTGATTTTTTTTTTTTCCCTTCTTTTTTTTTTTCCAACAAATTTACATGGTTCTAAAAAATTTAAACCAGAAAACACAGAGGACTGTTCCCAGAAAATTTGTACAGGAGTTGGTTATAGACTCCTGTGCTAGGAGTTAAGAACACACCATTACTAACTGATGGCGAAAGGACTTTGAACCTTGGTGCCCACTGGGCCTTCTCTGAGAATGTTCTTTCTTTTTGAGGGGGTGAGAGTATGATTTCAAGTGTTCACTCTAGAAAGTTGCAGCTGTTAGTGAGTGTCTTGCTTGATATAGCAGTTACTTCTTGCAGTTAGGAATGCTTATTTTAATTTTTATGTGTTGCTATGTTGGGTTTGCCTGCAAGAGTCTCCTAACAGAAGTGGATTGACTATTTTAGATAAAGATACAAAGATGACGATGATGATGTGCTGTTATTTATCTGTGATTTATCTTGCTCTCATACGATGAGCAGCCAAGGATAATATAGCCTGAAACCTTTTAAAATTTTCCACAAAGGCTCATTTGAAAAATGCAGTGGCTGCTAAATCAGTTCTGTGTGTTGGCATGGGGGCTGGATCTTAAGGGCCTTTCCAACCTTAACCATTCTACGATTCTGTGGTCATAAGAGATGGTAGGTGCACTGTCTTGCTGCAGCCATGTATTCACTGCTTCTACTGGCTCTTCCTGTAGTTAGGAGAAACATCAAAACTACCTTTTCTCTCCTGTAATGTTCCAGTGTTTATTCCTCTCACTTTCTTTTACTGGCCTGCAGAGAACAGTGCATCTCTTGGGAGTCCTATAAAGTTGTATGGAAGGATTCTGCAGGGAGGACTAACAGGACAATTTTTCTGCCCCATATCCTCTCCTCTGTGAATTCCAAGCACAATAGGTCAGATAGCTATTGGTGAATGTCCTGATAAAGCGTATACTGGGGAACAGGAAAGAAAACCTGTTTGAAGCACTGTGATTTTGATTAAATCAGAGGTAAAAACTGGAATTTCATAAGTGTTAATGCAGGTAACAGCCAGGGCTTATTGTCAGTTTGCTGAAGTTAGTGATCTTTTATCATGGCATTTTGAAGTGCGGAAGACAGAAGATGGAGCCCTTGGCTCTCACACTATACACAATGTTCTTTAAGTAAATCTAATAAAATAAGTGGTTCTAGGTCATTTAGGGTACTGGGGATATTTGCAGTAAGCAAATGTTAGCAATTCTTGGATTACAGTGGGCTTTCTGGAATTGCATCACCAGCTATGGTAGGGGTTGAGTTCAGATCTTTACCTTACCCCATTACATTTTGCAGTGGTAATTGATAATCACTGTAGATTTAAATACATAATGTTGGCAGCATGCTCAATGAAATGCCCTTGATTCTGGAATGAGCGTTAGCTATTTAGGATGTAGGGGAACAAACAAACCATGTCTGCAATCTTCTTGGCCATGATGCAAATTTAGTGTCTTTATTCCTTGTATGTATTGATCCAGTAGAAGTGCTGTAGTTGTGTAAAGGAATTTTACTGTGATAATACATTTGGGTGTGTATATTTTAATCTATGTAAGTACACTTCTCGTAATTTTGGTTGGGTAATGCTTTGTATGTCTAAAATTAAATTAGCAGTTATTTAAAAAGAGAGAATAGGTCTAATTCTATAGTGCAAAATTATTTTATGCCTTATGCTAGAAATTGAAATGCTGTACTATAAGCAAAATGCGCTGTTTCAAAATGTATAAATAACAAAATGCTAGTTTAAGTGCATTAGTCCCTTTTCCATTATGCAATATGCAGCTCAGTTTTTATATAATTAACACAGTAAGTAGCATATGGTAGAACACAATAATTATACTTTTAAACATGCATGCTTGAATAGAAAACCTCATTTAAAAAACTGCTTTTCTAAAAATACTAAAATATTTTACTGTACCTCTTGGAAAGTTCGTAACAGATGTCATTGCAGTCATTAATTTAGATATAAAGTGCTGTAGCTGTGTCAAATGTTTTAAACAGCAATTACAGTGGTTTTAAGGGGGTTGTTTGCTTGTTTGTTTTACAGCTCTGAACATAAATCTGAACTCTCCTTCTTGGCTGCAGTATCCCTACTTATGATCTTCTTTCTGGTTCAAAGAAGATGCTCCCTGGTTTCAAAAATTGCTATGGCACTCGGGCTCCTGGGAGTCTACAGTTACAGGGCAGCTATTGGAAATATCATATTTCCATGGCAACATGGTAGCAAAGATATTTCAAAGTAAGTTAATCAACAGATACGTAACTCTATTTCTAGAGAGGTGTTAATGCTTTGGATATCAAGGAATGAAGTGGGAGGGGACACTATGTCTAGTCTAAAATCGCATTCTTTTGAATAAAACTCTATTTTGTAGGTGGCCAGCACTCAGATTTTGTAGTGTGTGCATAATTTTGAGCTCCATGAAGTGTCTTTTGACTGTGACAGTTTAGAAGCTATAAGAATTAATATGAGGAAAACCCAAATATTCATACCCTGTATTTTTGCTGCAAAGAAACTTCAAATGCACTATCTCCTCTTGTTCTAAATGGACTTGCCGCATTTAACAGAGCACGTGCCAAGCTCATTTAGCTACTTCTTAATTTTGAAAAATGCTTAGGCAGTAATTTGGAGAGTTGCTTTTCCATATCTTTCATTTGCGGGTGACTCTTCTGTACTGTTTGGCCTTTCAAGATGTAACCAAATCCCTCTTGAGGTCTAGGCTGTGCTTCAGAATGCATACTAAGGATTTTTATGTGGATATTAAGTTTCTTATAGAACTAGTCTGTAATGGTAAGGAAGCTGTTAGCTGTTTTACCAGCAGGTGCTTCTGGAATATATATAGGTATAGCTAAGTGGACTTATTTTTATTATGATACTTTTTACTGTTGGATGGTCTGGCTCTGCAGCCTCAAGCTTTTGTACATGTCAGAGAGCTGTGGAAAACTTCTAGAATCAGTTAGGTCATTTGATGAGGAGGAAGGGATTGTGAAAGAGAAGTAGTAAACCAGTCATTTTCTGGACTTAATAATCTTTCTCTCAACTTATTTTTTGATATTTTGATATGGAATTTGATATGGATACAAACGGTTTCTGTTGGCACTTCTTAATCAGGGGCCAGAGATTCTTAAGATATGCAGAAATGGAAAAATCCTCTCTTTACAGGAGAAGATCTTAGGACATATAAAAGATCAGATTTGCTAACAAGGCATATTTTATAACAAATGTGTATGTATGTATATCTAGATATATTTACATACATTCTGTCTCTCCAAATATTGATGATAATTCTAGTTGTATACTAGTGTTAAGCTAATATTGTGTGCTATTTCTCCTGGATGTGAAAGTAAGGGTTATCTATACACAGTCTGCAGGATTTGGCTCTGTATTTGCAAATGCCTGATTTCTGAATGTGACCTCTAGTTTTGCTTTCTGTTTGAGTATAGTCCCTGGAGAAGAATACTGTCCTTGCAGTGAGAAGCAAAATACTGCAGCGTGGGACTGAACATTAAATACAGCAATTGATCCACAAATAAAATGCCATTAGAGAAATAAATGGAGTACTTACATACTAAAGGCAGAGCATTTACTGTGAACCTGTTCATTCTATAATCAGTATATTGGATTGCAATTATAATAAGATAGATACTGGCTTTTTGTGTTACTTCACCGTAAATAAATAGTGAACATGGTGATTTGCTTAAATTACGCTAGGTCTTTATCTCGGGTTATAGACTTGTCTAAAAATTACTGTTTTCTTTCAAAGCTTTGTATCCTTCAGATTCTCAGTGTAAGCTGGTAGGGTTAGCAAATGCAGGTTCTGACATTTGTGTTGACACTTGTTTTGCACCTGGGGCAGGAAGTGTCATGCAGGATTAAGGTCACTTTCCAGATTTCAGTAAGAAAGGACCAACAATAAATGTGTGACAAAATAGCTGTTTTATAAGATAGAGTAAAAAGAGGAATATAGGTAGTGAGTATCTTCAGATGTTGGTAAACCTACTTTTTTTCAGCGTCAGAAAACCCCCAGATGAATCTTCCTATGGCATGCTGTGGCACACCGGTCCCATGTGTGAAGAGGTTCTTCCTCCCTCCCATACTATGATGCCTTTTATTTTATGTTAAAAAAAAACAAAAACAAACCAAAACAAAAACCCAAAACAATAAAACTCCCCCAAAACCCAAACCAAACAACCCAGCCAACCAAATCAAACCAAACCCATGTGTCTGCTCCTACCCTGTCAGAATTATCTTTGTTGTAACAACCCCCCCCCCCCCCCCCCCAGCACACAACACAGGCCATCACAGGGGCTCCAGCATGGTCCCTTGCCAGAACATCGAGAAGCCCATGATAATGTGAGTTTCTCGATCCTGAAGTACAAGGCTAGACAGTACAGTACAGAGCAGACATGATTTGCCCAAGATCAATAACTTGTCAAACATGTTATCTTTGTCAAGGCTCCCAATACAGCATGTCAAAAAACATGGTACACACATCTTAGTTTTGAGATGTTAGCTGATGTGTTGTCATAGTAATCCTAGCTCATCAGATTGCTGGTGTGATAAATGGTAAAGGCCTGTTTAAAATACCACCAGGAGCAAAACCAGGACTTTCTTTTAAATATGTCTAGAAGTACGTTTATTCATGTGTGTTCATGATGTGGAATAACTCCAAATCCAGGTGCAAGGAAGAGGTAATTTTGTGTAACATGAGAAAAAGCTGTAGGCAGCCAAAGCATTTTTCATACCTGATGTTTGTTCTGTAAGATGAAGAACTTTTGCTCTGAAACTCCTCGTCTCTGTACTCTTTACTGAAGATAAGGTGTTGGTTTTTTTTCTCTGAATGTGACAGTTACTGGGAGGTAGATGAGGGACAAGAAGCAATTCAAGTATATCACATCTTCTATGGCTTACTCTAAGATAACCTCTAAATTAAAATATGCAAGGAAGTAATTTGGCTTTCCATTTCTCATTGTGTAAAAATGATAATTTGTGAAATGAAAAAGATAGGTATCGTACTAACTCAAACAAATAATAGTAGTGCATTTGCTGAGAAATTGGTTTTTTAGTCTGAATTTCCATCAAGTGGTTAATTTCAGTTTTCACTTACCTCATTTAATAGTGACAAATACCCAAAGCTATGTCCTAAAGTTTTACTTCTAAGTTGCATGAATGTATTTTAATGTTTTATGGTAATAATTACATCGGAATTTCCAGAGACGCTGAAAAAGGGCACTGAATTTCTGCCTTAGCCAGAAATGGAAGAACTGTCTAAACTTTATGGATTTTGGTTCGGGTTGGTTTTTGGTTTGTGTTTTTTTTTTTTTTTTTGTTTTTTGTTTTTTTTTTTGTTGTTGTTTTTTTTTTTTTTGTATTTTTTGTTTTTCCCATGTTTTTCCCCCTAAAGGAAAAAGCCAATTGCCCTACAAAGATTTTAGAAAGGCTTGATATTTAAGGGAATAAAATAGTAAAGTGCCTTTGCCTATACCATTATGTATGAGTTTGCAACTCTGAAAGCTAAACCACAGACCATAGCGCTGTATTCAGGTTTAGGAAGCCCACATCACTGTCATGAGGTGGTTTAATCTTTTTTCTTGGTTCTGTGAGTGCAAAAAGAAAACTGAATTTATAAATACTGTTGCTTATTATTTCTCTTCACGCTTTTTGGTTCTTTTTCCTGTATGTGGAAAATAAATACTGAATTCAAGCTCATTTGTTAGCAGTAGTTGAGAAGTGGCCTTCCAAAGTCTGAAAAAAATAATTAAAAGAAATTTATTTTTAGAAATTTTTATTAGTGGTGTTTTCTGTTGTCAGCTGGTTACATTAGTTCCACCAAGTACAACTAGGATTTTACTATTTTTAGTGTCATGGTCTAATTCTCCATGTATTATTAAGTCCAGATGACTCAACAATCCTCAGTTCTGAGTGAATTATGTTAGCTTTGTAGGAGAACATGTTTGTTCACCACTCAAGTATAAAGTGACTGCTAATCCCTAAAGACGGTGTGTATTACCTTATGGATAAAATGTGTAGATAATGTGCTTTTTTATCTTTTTCAAAACCAGCAGATTTTTTAATATGCTCATTTGGTGAGTTCATTGGATTATTATTATAGTTTAATAATCTAATGGTTAGATTAATAGGATCTGTAACTTTTTTTTTCCAGTAAACATAAGAATATCAGTGCATTCTGGCAGATATCTGCATTTACTTTCTTTGTTCCTTTGGCCTTGTATTACTGGAATAGCAGGTCACAGCTTTTAAGTTTACTGGTCCTTGTCTTTGTCAGCTTTTTTGGACGAGATGCTGTGTTTTTTTCAGGAGCCAGCTTTCACTGGAAATGAAGAGGCCAATGAATTTATAGGTGCAGTGAACATAGCAGTAGATTCTAATTACATTTACAACTTAAAGCATTCAAATTTTTTGCAATGGGATTGCTTAGGGATTTGAAAAATGTGTACAGTTACAAGGAAAAAATGTGCTGGTATAAGCCAGTAAGTCTCACTTCACACAGCTGCACAGATATAGAGAAGATGTCTGAAGTATGCAGAAATTTCAGAGTGAAAAAAAGGATCTTCAAATACAATCACTGTCTTTTCGGTTGGCTAAAAAGAAGTATATGTTTGTGTGAATGTTTGGTGGAAGATTACTGAGCAGCTTAAAGGGAATAGTAATTTTTAAGTAACTTTAATTCCTGAAATGAAGATTCCATATCACTCTAAGGAGTATTTCTTGGGAAATTCATTATGCCATATAAATGGCATATTTATATGACCGTATTTATAGATCGAGACCTTAAATAGTAATAACATAAATTTATTTTTGTTATATTAATTGACATGTCACACTAATACGATATTTTATTTTATAGGTTAATTTTTTTCTCACAAGCTGCTTTCTTTGCTAAAGTTGATTTGGACGTCTTGCAGTTTAATTATAAGTTATTTTTAGAGTTTTGTATTTGAGAAAGCTTTCTCATGAAATTGCCAGTAGTAGCTTTAGAATTTAACCTGTTTGGCAGAACTGCATTGGTCTGCACCTCTCTTGAAAGACTTTCTGACCTCTGAAATAGACATTAGTAAGTAGCTAATATTTCTGTTTTATTTATTTATTAATTATTATTACTTTTTTTTCCCCCTCCTGTTTAGGGGTATTACTGAAGCTCGTTTTGTTTATGTCTTTGTTCTTGGCATAGTCTTCAGTGGTACCAAAGACTTGCTGAAGTCACAGGTTATTTCTTCAGACTCTGGTGTGAAGAGTACAGGATTATGGGAAGTATATAGTGGATTGGTTCTACTAGCAGCCCTTCTATTTAGACCTCACAATTTACCAGTCTTGGTGTTTTGTCTGTTGATTCAGACAATGATGACAAAATATATCTGGAGACCTTTGAAATTTGATGCAGCACAGATTACTGTCATGCACTACTGGTTTGGCCAAGCTTTCTTCTATTTTCAGGTAAGCTGAATACTCTTTGTTACAGGGGTGGGAGGGAGACCAGTTTTTGAAAGAAACAGTGTTCATTGTGAGTAAAATGCCAGCTAAGTCTCAAAAAAAAAAAAAACAACAACAAATTTACTGAGTTCTCAGAAGGGTTTAGTTTCTAACTGTATTATTAATGTTTGGTTTTCAGAATAGGGGAAAGATAACTTATCCTCAGTACAGGTTTCCAAAAGTGTTGAAGACATCAGATACCTATACCAGGGGTAATTTTGGTCTGTTAGTGGGCCTTCTTAGTACTGTTCTGGTAACAATAAATATAAGAATTTCAGCTGAGTTGATTAATACCACTAAAGGGCAGATGTCTTTTGTCCCTGATTCTTGAGGCTTATGAAACCTTTGGTACCATCACAATAGATCTGCATACAGTTTACGACTGAAGGGAAGTTCTGTGACAAGGTAATGTCTCTTACGAGAATCAGAACTAATTGCCATTCTTATTGTATCAAATGGTATCTTCATTCCTGAGGAGGCTTACTAATTTCAATAACATTGTCTCTGCATTGCAAATAAGGTTGCAATTCCACAGACTTTCCTTAGTATTGAAGCTGGAGAGGTTCTCTCCACTTCTAATAACACTGAAAACTTCTTGTAGCAGACTATCTTAGGAGGGCATTTGTTAAACTGGGAATTGGGTTGTTTAAGGTTTAGGAGGAGAGGCTTTCTGATTCGTTGCAAAATGTCAAGGTGAGATCTGTGTTGGCTTTACTTTTAAGGCATGGCAGAGGATGTTAAAGGTGTAGTCAAGCTTAGGGTACTTCCCTACACTGTTTCTGATCCTGTTAGCACTTTACCAAGGACCAAGGATTGGCTTGACTTCCCTGAGTACATGTGAGGACAGGGAATTGCTGGTGGAGGTTAAGATCATCATGATTCATCCCTTCCTACCCAGTTTTCATGCTCAGAGGACATAACACTTCCTGGTTGAATAGCTTTTACATGGCTTGAATGTTACTGTTTAGGCAGTCAGCTCTGATTATGGCATTCTGAGGGCAGGCCTTAGTGGGGCTGTCAAGAGGCTGAAGGCAGGGCCTCTCAGTAGTAAGGTACAAAGCAAAGTAGCTGCCACAAGTTTCATGGTGGGTAGGCTAGCAATAAAATCTAGGCTGTGAAAAAGGGACTAATAAAGAATGGCTTGAATGTTTTCATAAAGCACCCATTTTCAGTGATGATGAATTCTTGGTACAGTTATCTGCGAATTTCAAAGAACAACCAGATTACAGAAAAATTGAGGCTGGAAGGTGCCTCTGGACAGCATTTGGTCCAGCCTCCATCTAACAGGTCAGCCACGTCAGGTGTCCAGTCCTACAAGGACAAAGACTGTGCAACCTCTCTGGACAGTTGGTAGCAGTGCTTGAGCACCCTAGCCAGTAAAAACACCTTTTCCTGGTGTTTAAACAGAGCTGCTTGTACTTCAGTTTGTGCGCATTGCTTTTTATGCTTTCACTAGTCCCTACTGAGTGACTTAGAAGGTTGGAGTCTGACTACGTTTTCTTTACTTCCCCTCAGCAGGTATTTAGACACATTATTATGATTGCTGCTGAGCCTTCTCCTCTTGAGGGTAAACAGACCAGCTTGTTCAGATAGATGACATATGCTTTGTTCCCATCATGATCTCTGTGGTGCTTCTGTAGACTTTCTGTGCTCCATCCATGTCTGTTCTGTGTGGAGGAGCCCAGAACTGGACCCAGCGGCCCAGATGTGATCTCACTGTTGCTTAGTAGAGGGAATGAAGCATCTCCCTCAGTCGACTCATGCAGTCCCAGATACTGTGTCTTTGCACAAAGGGCACATGTATAGACAACATGGTGTCCACCAAGACCCCATGTGCATCTCTACCAAGCTGCTTTCCATATGCCTAGCCCCTAGCCTGACCCAAAGCATGGATGTTTTTTCATCCCCGAGTGCCAGATTTGACATCTTGTTTGAAATTCATGAGTTTCTTGTCAGCCCTCTCTCTAGCTTCTCTGAATGGTATCAGACCCCCCGGTGTATCCAGTATACCGCTCCTCCCAGTTCTGTACAGTGTGCATACTTGCTGGGGGGGGGGGAGCACTCTGCCCCATCATCCAGGTCATTAATAAAGATGCTAAAGAGTATCAGCCCTAGTGTCAAGGCCTGTGGTCATTCGCTAGTGGCTGGCCTCCAGGTGGACTTCGTCCTGCTGATCAAAACCCCATGAGCCTGGCATTTGAGCAGGTCAATGCACCTCACTGTCCACTTTCCTAACCTGGACTGCATTAGTTTGCCAGGGAGGATGTTACGGGAGAGGTGTTAAAGCCTCCTTGTAAGGTGAAAGTGCTCAACTTCAGTATTGACCTCTGTTAAGCCTGCCTTGGTGCCAGCTAGTCATTTTTTTACTACTTCTGAAGCAAGTGATACCTGTGCTAGAGTGCTAGGGAAAAGATGTGAAGGAAGCACAACTGTATTATAAGGCATGATGTGCACTGCTAGCATAGATGTAAATGTCTTCCCTGACTTTCCTTCCTCAAGTTTTGTGGTTGAGCAGAGTGGTAGAGCTACCACTATTAAACTGGCTGGGTTCACAGTGTTGCTAGGTTTTTAATCACCAGACAGGCATAAAGATCTAATGTGGCATACAAAAATGATAGCAGGTCTATGACTGAAGTACAGAAATGGAAAAAGCACTGAAATTTGTTGTTGATGTACATGAGACTGAATACTAAATTTAAACTGTGCTAGCTAAATGAGCCAGGAAAAGAGAAATATAAACTAAATCTAAAACCTTTTCATCTGGAAATATGAGCGATTTAGAGAGCTACTTTTTGCACATGTCCTGGTGTGATTATGAGAAGAATGAGACTTCTTGCCCGCGTTGCTGAGCCTTTATTAAATCTTGGTTGGCAAGAGGGTATGTAATGACAAAAACAGTCACTCTGTCTTGCTAAGTGTTGAATGTGATGGCCTTTTGAATATGATAGTGAGTAAAAATAGCCTTGCTCAGGATAGCATATTTAATGAATGAGGCAGTGTTCTGCCAAAAAATATTGTAGTGTCCTTAAAGACTTTATGGAAGTACAGCTGTGAAAATCCTGTGTACAGAGTAAGCAAGGTTCATAGGAAGAAATACTATTTTTCATTAATCAGTTGGTATAGCTGATGAAAGTGTGTGTGTGGGGGAATCAAGTGCCTGGGTGTGGAATCTAATATTTTGATCTTAAGTAGAAGTAGAAAGAAAACCAAAGTAAGCGTGGGTTGAAATCAAGTGCCTTGAGCTTACACTTAGTTTTGCATTCCATGCTTCATCTCTGCTAGGACCCTGAGAACATCTCCTGTCTAGGAGCTTAGTTTAGTGGAGTTCAAGGTGATCTCCTTCACTGAGAGGAGCTGTTGGGGGGAAAAGCTAGAAGGAAAGGCCTGGCCCTGCTGTTCTGTAAGACCTGCTTTTAATGTGATGCTTTACTGGCTGAGATGTGTCACAGATGTGTAAGCAGGTATGTTTGTGCCTATCTCTTACCCTCTTAATCCTAATCTGGACTTGGACATGGTGTCTGGCCTTTCTGGCCTAATGTGAGACCTGCTGTGTCACTACAAACCTTGCTGTGTAACCCTTGGACTGAGTCTGGCCCTGATCACTCTCTCTGGATCCAACTGTGACCTGGGCATGTTGCTTAGCATTCCCAGTCCTCCTGACTTACTGCTCTCACTTGCTTTGTTTTCACACTCATTTCCCATCTTAACCTTCCCATGCAGAACCAGCTTGCCCTTGCTGCTTTCTGACAATGTGAACTTAAAAGGCAAATCTATTAACCAGTTTTTTAACTTGGGAATACTAGACATAAATTTGTTTTTCCAGCCCTTCAGCAAGACTTGTGAATATTAAGCAGTGGAAAAGGTTACTCACACTGGTTGTGCAGTCTTCACACTTGGAGGTTTTCAGAGCTTGAGTAGCTAAAGTCATGTATTACTTATGTGGAGCTGGATACAATCACTTCTTTTTTTTAGGCTTGTTTTAGTAGTTAGGATCTTTGCTTTATTTATTGTTTTATCTAATTCAATGAAGAGAAGCAAAGTTAAAAATATTTGACTATTGTCAAAAAGCTGTGAAATTAATACATTTAGTCAGAATGCCACTTATTTGTCAGGATGTTATTGCAAGCTTTGAGAACCTCTTGATGAATGTTTAACAACATTGAATGATGGATTGCTTTATCCTAAGCTCTGTGTTGTCCACGTCTCATAACTCATCAGTCACTTCCCAGAAGTATATTATATCTTTAGCATTGCTATGTGCCCTTCAAATACAACAAGAATAAAAATAAATATCTTGGTTGTTTCTCTTAACTACAGCAGATCCTAAAAAAAATCGTTGATGTAAATATGTCTTAAAATACTTTTGTTACTATGTGAAAGCTCACAAATGAACAAAAATTCCATGTATTTATTTGTCTTGCAGGGTTTTGTTTCCATCCTTAGAGCAGTATATCTGCAGAAGAGGAGAAAAAAAATAGTCTCAAAATGTTTAAGACTTGCTTATACTCTGTTAATTTTAATTATTGGAGAAGAACAGAATAGGTTTCTACATTTTCAGAAAAATTTGTATCCAATTCATCTTGCCTTTATGTAAAGAGAGAGACTGAGTGACATTTTGAAGTGGTTGATAGCTTTCCCTTGTTATGATTTCAAAGCGCTGTAGGACAATTTAGATGGTAGAGGACCTCAGCAGGACCACAGTTCAATCCGTTCTCAGGGGTCGTACCAGGTTGCTCAGGGTCTTGAAACCTCCAACAGTAGAGACAGCAGAATTGTCTCGGTTTTATTTTTTTCAAATTATTCCACTTTTTTTTTCTCCTTAAATTATTTGTTTCACATAACTGAATTCCTCATTCTGTGCTTGTTCATAGGGTTCCAGTTACTAGAAAGACAAAAAATTATGTGTGAAAGTGCGATAACAGTCTGCTATGCTAAATCAATTGTTAAACAAGCCAGAAGTATGTCATTTTTGTCTTGCACCTCTGCACCTCTCAGTTCAGTGACAGTCATTGAGACACTGCTCATTTTCAGTGAGTGATGTGATATCTGTAGCATTTTAAGAAAAATCATTGCAGCTTTGAAGAGGGTTTTAGATTGTTTCATTACTGTCTGTGGAGGGATTTTCCTTTGTTACTGTTGCAAATATGCTGGGCAATTTCTTTAGCCAGTGTTCCTGTATTTGTGCTTCATTGATCTAGGTGATGATGGATTATCATGGAAAGCTTTTATGCAATAGTGCATTGTCTCCTGTCACTTTCTGCCCTTACCACAATAAGCTATTAGACCATTCAAATACTTGAGTGATAATTTAAAATAAAAGCAGACACTCTGAATTGACATTTATGTATTGTGTGGAGTATTAGAAGTTACAAGCTACTAAAATTCAGATCAAATGTATGAACTGGTCTTGGTGAAACATATCTAACATGAAGAAAAAATGCTGCTGACTGCTTAGCAGGGCTTTTTCAATAGTGGCTTTGGAGTGGGGTGAGAGTGAAGTGTTTGGACCCTTAACATACAGTGTGGTCAGATTTCTAAGTGTGTGGATTCAGGTGTGTACATCTTTGTTTCTCTTTGTTCTACAGCTATAGCACATTAAAAAAAGTCAAATGTAGGTGGAGTGAGCCCTGTGTGAAAGGAAGTTGAGAAGGTGGAAAGCACTGTTCCTTCCTCTGGTTCCTTCCTCTGTCCTCAGTACCTTCCAGAGGAGAGTACATCTTTTTGCCCTTTTGTGCAGGACCAGTGACATGCACTCCCAGTTGCTGTATTTATTCTTGCTTCTTCTCACATGCAGTGGGATGGGGAGCTGCTCCAAGGTGCCATGGATCAACCATGTACATGTCCAGGAAGAGCAAACACTGTGAAAAGACCTTTCAGCTCTTCATAAGATGAGCGGGATTGCCTGATCTCTCAGCTTTCCTGCTCTGCATGCATTATACAGAGAAGAAGGAGAGAAGAGAAAATAAGTAGATGTGGTGGGGAAAGACCTGTTACTTTGGACAAGGACTGGGGGAAAAGAGAGCAGGTTCTCTCCCTACCTGTCCCTGGCAAACTTACTTGTTGAGGAGCAGCACCCTGCCCTCCTCTCAGACGGTTGCTCTTGACCTTTCTGCTCTTGCCTTGTCCTCAGTCTATACACCTTCAACCTGAGGAGGAGCTTTGCTTTACAGCTTTCTTTTCCAATCTCAACTTACAGTACTAGGGCACAGATCAGCTTTTACTTCAGTGGCTCATCATAGTTATTTGCTCTGCTCCTGTCATTGCTGAACATTACACTAAATGCATAACAATAATGTGTTACACTGGTGCAGTGTAACAGTCACTACAGTGGTCCATGGTGAAGGTCAAAATGAGGAAGACTGACATTCATAAGTCAAGATCTTTCTGCTGTATGGTGTGTTGGTAAAATCCATAGCCTACTGCCTTCTTACAGCTTCAGTTTCCTCTTACATTCTGGGGCGACCTTCATGGTAGGATTCACAGGGAAAGTGCTGGTGATGAGTTCTGAATTGTTCTGTTGTCATAGATGGTCTTTTTCTTCTTAGTTATGAGAGCTATTTCAGAAACAGTTTTTCCTGTCCCTCATGGCTATTTACTTATGTGGTTGAAAAAGCTACCTGGTCTTCGTGCTTCCTGGTGTGCTCTGGGTTTTGTGGGCAGCCCAGACATGTATTTGATCAGAAGACTTCCTTGCTGGGATAACTTGGTGGCTCAAAGACTGCTCACTAAGGTGAGAGGAGATCAGGTTGGAGGGAAAGGGGGAGCTGCCACTCCTTATATGCTTTGCTGAGACTGGATTTAGGGTCTTGGTGGTTACAGCACTTAGTTTTGTGTTGGTCTGGAATTCTGTAGGGGGAAAAGGAGAGTTTGATGACTGTTAGAATACCAGTGCTGTAGAAACTGATGAGCTTCTCCAGATATGGCAAGAATATATGAGAGCTTTCACACTAGTCTGAGGAAACCTATCTTTGACCTGCTAAGAAATATTCTGCCTTAATCACAGGATGTGTTTTCTGCTTTAGGTATTTGAGTAAAGTTAAATACTTAGGCATTTTCAATAGAAAATACTTCCCTCAATTTTTTATTATCCTTTGTTACTTTGTGGTCTTAGTCACTGGAAAAAGAAAACTAGGTAAAGCATACAAGTCTTGGACAGCTCTTAATACTTTCATTACTGTATGTTCCTTCTGTTTTTCTCTTTCTACATTTTAAATTTCCTTTATTGATGATTCAGTCTATCTAGGCTGACTTTTGGTCTGTTTCAATGCAAATGTGGTATAGAATCTTGGAAAGCAGAAACCTCTCTGAATTTGTAAGCCTTAATCTGGTTACATGCAGCAGCTTGTGTCATGGGGCAGGTGGGCAGTGTAGTGTTCCTCTACCGGTCTAAATTGGAGCCCTTCTGTCTCTAACAGCAGGAAATATTAATCTCCTGGTATAATTTTGGGCAACAAGCCTAAAATCTTGGGTTTGAAACATGCATGATAAAAAATGCATTTTTAATTTCATTACTGTGACTGAAATCAGCAGGAGTAGCTGCTTGCTTTAAACTCTTTTCTTGGATGTAATTTATTAAACAATAGCCATGTTAATTTGCATAAAAAATAAGACAAATAAAGGATCATGCTGTTTATGCCCTTATTGGTCTGTAAATCCTCAATAAAAGCTCTTGTTTGGTAAGCTGCTTTATTGAAATTCTGATGTAAAGAATATGGCTGTATTGTAAAGTGGCTTAAAGAGTAAGTGTTCAACTGGTACAATAATTAATATTATTATAATGTATTCTAAATGTTTCTTTAGAGGTATTTGAAGCCTTAATTTTTTATTCCTGTTTTCAGGGAAATTCAAATGGCATTGCTACTGTGGATGTTTCAGCAGGTTTTGTGGGACTAGAAAGTTACGTGGAAGTACCAGCAATCTTCCTTACAGCATTTGCAACATATGCAGGACCTTTGCTTTGGGCCATTCATCTGCTGTGCTACTTGAGTTCTGAAGTTAGCAGGTAATCATGTTTTGTATTAAAGTAATACTTCTCTCTATGTACTGCACATACAAATGCATCCATATAGTGTACTCCTTGTCAAACAAATAGTGTTAGTCACATAATTTTCTTCCTTGGAAGCTAGTTTTCTGGTAAGAAAATGCATGTGTTTTGTGGTTTTTGTTTTTTTGTATGAGTTTGTATCACCTTGCTCTTCCTTTTTCTCTGCAGAAGTTCTGCACTGGGGTTATAAGTGTGTGTTTTACTAACTTTGTTTCCTAATGAGTTCTCAGTTTGCTGTGCTGAGTTACTTACAATTTTACTATGTTTTGTTGTAACAGCATGTGCTGCCTAAAAACGTTCTTCTTGGAACCTACTAAGTAGGAGAATTGAGAAGGACTTTTTAAAGTAATAGAACACAATTCAAACTTAACTAATGGGCTGTTCTTTGAATGTCTGTCCTTGTTTGGCATAGTGACATACGTTTTATAGATAAACCAGATTTATTGTATGTTACTGGTTATTGCAGTCATTTGTAGCTAAATATTCATACTTTTTGGTATCTTGTGTGGTGGATTGGTTAATGGAAAATTAATAAGTGCATTTGAAATTTTAATTGGAATATACTCATGTAATTTAGAGTGTGCATGTAAAATCTAGTTGGACTCTCTGATATTGCATTTAACTCATCTTCCAGGACATTCAAAGTGAGATGCAGTATGTTATAATAGAGGAATTGTAAATTCCTTACTGTATGATAGCAATGCAAAAAGTTTATGTATTTTAACAGACGTAACATTTGACAGTGACTAAGTTCTTACCATCCCAGAGTCTTTTCTGTGTTATCTGTGGAACATAAATGTACTTTTTCTTTTCTTTTTTTTTTTTTTTAATGGGGGACAACCTCTGACTTAGCTTTATCTTCAGAGTGTCATCCAGTCTCATCCTCTTAGTGCTTTTTGTTTTCTGTTTTCTCTTCTCTGTTTGCTTTTTTTGTTCTGGGCTATACCTACACTGTGAACTTCTGTTGGCATGTGTGTGTCCATCAAAAATGTAAAGGCGAATTGACCCCCAGCTGACCAAGCTGGATAGACTAGTGGAGGTTTTTGAGCCAGGAAGGACCTATTATAATAGGCTGTATTTCTGCATAGTCATTGTGTCCATTGCTCCATGTTAACAGGCACCTTTTAGCAGGTAGAGTTAGGGTTTACCTTGATTCACCAATTTGCCTGTCTGCCATATTGCTCTCTAAAGATGTCCGTCTCTCTCTACTTTATCACAGTGGAGTTATGCAGCCCAGTGGTGAGTCATTGTATTGCTCTAGTAATGCATTCCGTAATGTAGATTAAGACAAACTGTAGAATATTAGCTCTTAGTCTGAGGCCACCTACCTTGAAGTCATCTTTGCTCTTATATAGATTGGTACTGTCTAAGTGCTGGTCTTTATCTATAATGCCTTTGAAACCCATCACTTTCTCTGTTCATTCAGATTTTTTTTTGCTTCAGAGGAATACATGTGAAATACACTAAATATTGATGTCTGGATTTGTATAACCACAGAAACCCCTTCCTTGAATTTTCCTGTCTGGTGACTTGACACCAAACTCAGTATTAAATCCCTGTTTCTAGTGCTCCTAAGTTTACATTTAGTTACTGCTTTGCTCCATCAATGCATCTTCCCAGTATCAAAGCTCTTCAGGTTTTCTCCGTTCTTTCAACTCTCTTTGAAGAGAACTATCATGTATCTCGTATAAAGCCCCATGTCTTGTCTTCTAGTAAATATGTGACCCATGACCCAGGGTATTACTTACATTCTAGTAATCTACTGTTTTCTCCAACTCCTTTATACCTCTGTCATGCTTTGTTTAAAATAGTGCTAGACAGTTTCACTGGTCACAGCCATGTTCCCATGTTGTCTATTTTTTTTTTTTAGCAGTCCCGCTTTCTATTCTTTGTTATTACACTGAAGATGCTTTGGAACTGGAATTTTTTACTTGTGCTTAGAGGGCTCTGAGGACAGAGGAGTAAACTGCCTCAGTGCCAGTTTCTGGGAAGGGAGAAGGAAAGAATAAAACCACCCATAATATTTTTAAAGAGCTGAAGTTTTAATGTTGTTTAAACCTTAGGCTGCAGACTGTGATGAACACTAACATAAAATGAAGAGAAAATGGTGCCATACAGCATGCTTTTTCAGTGCTCTACTAACAAAATAATAAAGAACTTTAACAAAATCTGTAAGGGTCTGTACTTGTTTAGCATTGTTTCAAATAATGTGCCTCTGTAGTCATGTTGGTTGTTGTTCTGATGTTTTCTTGATTGGATTTTTGCAGATTAAAAGCTCAGCTAATAGTGTTGCCAGGTACAGTGCTCATTTAAACTGCTCTCAGGCGGGTAGCTGTGACCTGTAATACCTGCATCACTTATGTAAGTAGATTCCACCAAGCAGCTCTTGTCTGTAGCCTTTTTAAAGTTCATTTGGGACAACTGGTAAGGTTGTTTCCTCTATGGAACAGTACATAACTCTGGACTGGAATATCTGTAGCTGCTGGAACTTCTTTAAATTGGTATGTGATGGTGCTCAGAACTTGGTCTGTACACTTTTTATTTTACTCTTCTGTTTCATTGTTGCTGCCCAAATTACTTTGTTATTCCTTGAAGCCAAAGCTGAAACTGCAGAAGGCCGAGGTTCAGCTGCTTCATGTGTTTTCTTAAACGTATAGGAGAGTGAAATTTTAAAGTTGTGGAAGCTTTTGAATGTTCTTCATAAAGGATTCTTATTCAGTGATTTATAAACAATATGCCTTGGTCAGTGAAATTCAACCCCCTTTTTAATATGGTCCTGAATGCAAGATGGAGATACTTTCCAGTCTTCCTCCAGGTAGGAAGGTCTAATCCAGATGCCAGCTCCAACAAAGAATATGCTGAGTGGATCTCATTAGATAACCACAGGATGTCATCAGGATTCCTGTGCCATCCTGGTACAGTCTTAGCAGAATGGGTGTGCCCAGAACTGCTCGGAAGTGTCATTCTTGACAAAGTCCTTGGCATCCTGCAGCCTGTTTTAGTACTGTTGCATCTGAGGAAGTTGACCTGGACAGGGAAGCCTGACTTCACTGCTAACTGCCTTTGTTTATTCCAGACATTTAGCAGAGCTTGTGTAATTTACAGCTGCATCAGTTGGGTTGGCTTACCCGGGCTTCTTGCTGGAGTTTTTAGAAGCTAAGCTCTATTGGGGCATATCTTCCTAGGGGCAAATATACGTGCGTATCCTTCCTTCTCTCTGCACTTTGCATTTTTGGAATCACAGAATAATTGAGTCTGGAGTCCATCCCTCCTGTCCAAAGGAGGGTCAACCAGAACAGGTTCATCAGGGCCATGTTTAGTTGGTTTTTGAGTATCTCCAAGGATGGACACTCCAGGGTCTCCTTGGGTAACCTGTTCCAGTGTATGACAACCCCCTCAGCAAAACAGCTGTTTTCTGATGTTTAAGGGGAATTTATTACATTTCAGTTTGTGTCCATTGCCTTTCATCCTTTCACTGGGCAACACTGAGAAGAGTCTGAGTATATAGTCTTATTTCTGCCCATTAAATGTTTATGAACACCGGTGAGATCCCTGATGGGCCTTCTGTTCTCAAGGCTAAACAATCCCTGCTTTCTCAGCCTCTTATTTTATTCAGATGCTCCAGTCTCTTCCTCATCTTTGTGGCCTTTCAGTGAACTTGCTCATACCCCCGTGTCTGTCTTGTACTGAGGAGCCCAGAACTGGATCCACAACCCCAGATGTGATCTCACCACTGCTCAGCAGTCAGGAAAAATCACCTTCCTCAATCTGTTTGTTCTTCTTTTCCAACAACAGCTGGGTTGGTTCAGGGGAACATTGCTTGCTCATGATCAACTTACTATCCACCAGGAACAACCTATGTCCTTCTCTGCCAAGCTGTTTTTCAGAGAGCCCCGAGTCTGTCCTGCTTAATGGAATTTTTCTTCCCCAGGCACAGGATTTGACATCTCCCTTTGCTAAACTTACTGAGTTTCTTGTCAAATGATTTCTGCAGCCTCTTGGGGTGCCTCTGAGTGGCAGCAGACCCATCTACTCTATCAACCACTCCTCCCAGTTCTGCATAGTGTGCATACTTGCTGGGGTGGCACTCTGCCCCATTGTCCAGGTCTTTAATAAAGATGCTAAAGAGTATCAGCCTCAGTGTCAAGCCCTGCGGTTGTTTGCTAGTGACTGGCTTTCAAATGTACTTTGTCCTGCTGATCACAGCCCTGTGAGCCTGGCATTTGAGCAGGTTTCAATCCACCTCACTGTCACTTTCCCAGCCTTAACTGCATTAGTTTGCCTGGGAGGTTCTTATGGAAGAAGGTGTTAAAAGCCTGCTTGTGAGGTTAAAGTACATTAAATGCATGCAGCCAATGTACCTTTGGCCAATATAGTAAAATGGAGTAGAAGATAACTAGGTTTTGAAATAATGCATTTGCTGTGGAAATGTAGTTGTAACTCCTTAAACAATTTGCTTCCATCTGATCAAACATGTGGAACTATGAAATATTCTTCTCATATGGAAAAGTAAATATGTTTCTAAAATAATTAAGTGGCTTGTGATAGACAGTAACATGGGTATTACTGCCACTTTTAGTCCTTCAGGCTCTCCTGAGAAACTTGGCATCTTAAATGTGATGGGATTTGCACAGACAGAAATAGAAAGAACAACTCTCTGGCTTCAGTCTCCATGGAAACTGTGCAATAACTCTTGAAACTATTTTTGAGACAGAGAGTACTGATTAAACGGATGTCTGAACTTAACCAAGTATTCTGTGTGTGACTTGCATAAATTCCAGAGAGCACCTGATTCATATAAAGAGTAGTTTTTACAGTGGCTACTGTGTTGCTCTGATCTGAAGTAGAATTTTGGATTTTGGGATCCTTATGTTTAGGAAAAGGGCCATGTTTTTGGATAATCTGACCTATATTAGTGATTTCACTGTGCAGTACACTCCAGATGGATTCAGTTTTCA